TTGGACTAAATCAATATAATCCTATTTCATAAGTGTTCTTAGATTGAGTTATGTCTACACATATTGGATGGAAATCCTGCATACAAAAATTGAGTTCTTCCAATGACTTATTTTTTTGAGTGAGCAGGGTATAGACACAAAATGCATATAAGAAATAATTTACTTGGATGCCTCCTTTTTTCATATAAAAACTTAATACACTTAATCAACAAATTAATTCACAATTTGCATATCTGTGAGAGCCATACAAAATCCATCCAAGTAAGTAAAGGCTATTCACATGTCTAACAGGCAACAGCCTGAGAGCTCATTTAACTGAAACATTAGGCGGTTGGATGGATGTTTCACGAATGGACTGATGATTCACTGCCGAACCTGAGCTCACGTTGGACTATTTGACGCCATCATTTAAAGTCTAAACTATTGATAAAATCTATCTAGAGAGTTTAGCCTCTCAACTCTTGTGAAGAGTGAAAGGCTTTCATAGTTAACGATACTTTCCGAGAGTCGGATGTAGCGGATATAGATACGCGAGCCGCCGTTAACGTGAACGTTTGCTCACGTGACTTAACCTGTGACGCATTCGGTCCACATTCGGTCTCCGAAGCTGGATGGAAAAACAGGTGGCCCATAGAATGTTATGACGTCACACAAAGACGGAAGGGAACGCGGCATGGCCAGTCGGGATATGAATGATCGACGTGCTGAAATTGTCCATATTCCATATCCACAACCGTCTACACACGACCCGCCCCCGGGCGCCAGCGATTGGTGCAGAGGCAGCATTAAGAGAGTTCTTAATGCTCCAGAATGTATCTTGAGTGCATGTGCACGTGTTCGGAGAAGCAAGAGAGCGGACGTGTGTGGAGACTTCCAAGCGACATGGCAGAATCACAGGGCGGTGGAAGGACGCTTCCATGGGAGTTAACTGAGACGTTTGTTGTACCAAAAGAAAAGCGGATATCTCAAACCGAAGTCCGTTACACCCAAAGGAAACTCAATGAAGCAAAGGGAACGATATCACAACTTAAAATTAAGTCAGAGGAACAAAGTAAATTGATTGTTGTGAGCCAGAGGGAAACTGATTATCTGCAATCGGAAATATCTTCACTCATGGAGAATGAAGACATTTCAAAGGAACATCTAAAAGAAGCAGAGTGTAAACTTGCAGTGAAATCGAATATGAATGATGATCTTCAATTACAGATCATTGACATGGAAACAGACATTGCAGAGCTCTCTAGAATTAATGCTGCCCTTACGCAGAGTAAAGAGGAAGCTCAAAAACATTCGGATTTTGTTCTGAAATGCAAGAAGAACGAGGTTGCTTTGATCAATGAAAATAAGTTTCTTGGTGATAAACTGACCTGCGTGACATCTGAGAAAGTTCTAAATCAGGCAAAGATTTCTAATCTGGAGGCAGTTGTTGAAGCGCTAGTTGAGGAAAACCGAACTATGAAGAACCAGAGCCTGATCGCTGAGAGGGAACACACCAAAGCCACTGAACATCTTTCTACAACAAATGATGAAGCAACGGGTAAGATATCACAACTTGAAAAAGAGTCGGAGGCACAAAGTGAATTGATTGTTGTGAGCCAGAGGGAAACTGATTATCTGCAATCGGAAATATCTTCACTCAGAGAGAATGAAGACATTTCAAAAGAACATCTAAAAGAAGCAGAGTGGAAACTTGCAGAGAAATCGAAAATGAATGATCATCTTCAATTACAGAACAATGAAATGGAAACAGGAAGGATGCTTCCATGGGAGTTAACTGAGACGGTTGTTGTCCCAAAAGAAAAGCAGGTATCTCAAACCGAAGCCCGTCCCACCCAGAAACTCAATGAATTAACGGGTGTGATATCAGAACTTAAAATCATGTTGAAGGAAGAAAGGGAAGACCTTGTTATGAGCCTGAGGAAAACGGATTTTTCAAAGGAAGATCTTAAAGAAGCAGAGAGGAAACTTGCAGAGAAATTGAATAGGATTGATTATCTTCAATTACAGAGAGATGTAATTGAAAGTGACATTGAAGAGCTCCGGAGAATTAATGCTGGCACTGAGCAGACGAAAGAGGAAAGAAGAAATCATGAGAATTTGGCCCAACTTAAAGACTTGACCGAGACAACAGACATATGGGAAAAAAAACATTCAGATTTTGTTCCGGGGTGGGAGGAGAAAAGGGCTACTTTGATCAATGAAAACAAGGTTCTTGGTGATAAACTGGCTTGCGTGACATCTGAGAAAGATCTAAATCAGGCAAAGATTTCTAATCTGGAGGCAGTTGTTGAAGCCCTAGTTGAGGAAAACCGAACTATGAAGAACCAGAGCCTGATAATGAAGACATTTCAAAAGAACATCTAAAAGAAGCAGAGAGGAAACTTGCAGAGAAATCGAATATGAATGATGATCTTCATCAACAGAACGCTAAAAATGAAACAGACTTTGAAGAGCTCTCTAGAATTAATGCTGACCTTAAGCAGAGTGAAGAGGAAGCTCAACAAAGAAATGATGAGAATTTGACCCAACTTAAAGACTTGAATGAGAAACTAGACAGAACGATCAAATATCATTCGGATTTTGTTCTGCAATCCGAGAAAAGAGAGGACGCTTTGATCAATGAAAATAAGGTTCTTAGTGATAAACAGGCCTGCGTGACATCTGAGACCGATCTAAATCAGGCAAAGATTTCTAATCTGGAGGCAAATGTTAACGCGCTAGTTGAGGAAAACCGAACTATGAAGAACCAGAGCCTGATCGCTGAGAGGGAACACACCAAAGTCACTGAACATCTTGACGACCTTCAGAGTCAAGTTGAAACATGTTACAGAACAATCTCGGAGAAAGATGAAGAAATGCAACTACTTAAACAGACCAATGACCGATATCTGTCAGAGATCCAACAATTCAGAACGGAGGAGACACCTATGGATGAGACCGGTTCAGGCCAGAAGTTGGTCTGGCCTTGCTAAAGGTCTGGTCAATGTAGGATGTTATGCTGCCATCGGCATCGCCACGGCAGTGCTTACTAACAGCTGGGAGTTCAGACTTGAATTGCGGCCGGTCAAACCGTTTCAATGATTTCCAATACACCGCACCTCGTCCCTTCTAATCAGGTACAAAGACTTACACCAAATATGAATATATTTGAATATGGCCATTAGTTGGATTCAAAAGACACATCCAATCAACCGCAACTCAACAGATGAACAGAATAAGACATCCCCTTCTAGCGAGGGGTAAATATTCATCTTCATCATCAAACCAATGTAGGTTTTTGCATGTATGTGTGGTTGTTCGCCTCCGTATGGACCTATGTCTGTATGTGAGTGTGAATGATGACCTGACAATGTGAACTGTGATGGTTCATGTTAAGTGAGAGGTGAAGATAATCCATGTATATTTATGTGTGTCTGTCTGTGTGAGTGGGAATGGTGTCCCCGTGACCCCTCCTTACTTTTAATCACGAAAGTTGAGTGCAAGCATAATGTGCAACATATGTAAAGAGTCAAATTTCAATGATCAATTCAAAGCAGTCAGGACTTGTTACACAATCCCAAAAAATAGTTCAGCGACACTTTAAAAAATACCGAAAACAATTAGATTGAGGAAGGGGATTTTCTACAATTTCAATTAAGAATTTATTGCATGACATACAGACATGGAAACATTTTTTGTAATCAACATGTTTATTAAATGGATTGGCAACTACAACAGCAAACTAAGCAGCAGATTAAGATGAATGACAGCTTACGGAAATAAATTATAAAACACAACCAAGAATTACACCGTAATGCTAAATCCTACCCCGGGAATTGACATGTGACGGGAGGGGGCCCACTTTTACCATCTTATCGTTTGTGGTATTTCTGAGGTTTTAGGCACAGCAGCCTTTACTGAGTTGAGGTGAGGTAAAGGTTGAGACTTCCCTTCAGTTTATGGTTTGGTCACCTGTGGGCTCCAAAGCAAATAAAGCAAAGACATCCATGTGAAACATGTTGAGCAGGCTGTGCATTACGAACAATCACTAGAACCGTAAAAGAAAGAAAAAATACCAATTGTGAGGGGGGGAAGTAAAAACACATTTTGAACAAGTAATCTAATCAAATGTTGAAATAAAACATCACAATTATTTTTTACAGCCAAAATAAGACCATTCAAGTAAAACACTCATATTCCAGTTAACATAATTGGAAACAAAAAGGTTCTGAAAACAACATTTTACAGATGACTGTCAAGTCTTCTCATTTGAACTCCTTCCAAAAATTCTACACATCACTTGTTGGCATTGAAAATGTCAGAGATGCAAAAGAAACGTATTTGGTAAAACCAATAAATGCAACAGGCGCATAAATTAACTTGTGGTAACTTGAGTTGATGGATGAACACATTGAAGGAGAATATACTAGTAAATGGAGAAAATGTCATTACTACTCAGCCAAGTGAGCCAAAATCTAAACAAGCATTGATGTTTTTCTGCATCAGTATTTCAAACTGAAACACAGCTCGTTAACTTGTGTCACATTAGATGGCCTTCTTAGGTGGCAGAATAATTGTTGTCTGTTTCCTCAGAAACTCCGATTTGAGTCGATGGATTTGAAAGTTTGCCGGTTAATCCAACAATTGGTCTTCTCAGATGGATTTGGAATATTTAAGCTGGTGAATTGAATGACGTTTTGTCAGCTGCAAATCAAGCATTCACTACACCGAAGCAACAAAACCTGCGTTCCATAAAAACATCATACAGTGAACTAGACAGTAAGAGGGTAAAAAATAAATTCTGAAAGTGCAACTCAACATGTATCCGATGACTGAATATATGATGCAAGATGAAGCCGAGAAGCTGTGAGAAACCGATTGAAGTAATACATTTAATGAACTAAAGCTGAGAGCATTGGTGAGAATTTGTTCTTATTCCTGTACAATATTTACGTTTTGAAACCATCAGAATGTTTTCTGCTGATCGGTGTTCAAATGGTCTCCTTTTTATTTTCTATATATTTCAGTGTTTATTCCCTCTAAACTGAAAACATGTTTTGACACCTAGCATTCAGTCTTTGTAATTATGTAATTGCACTTAGAAATAAAAAATATATACACACACACCAAAATCCCATTTATAAATGAGCTTTAAATTGCTCAGTTCAATTGTTTGAAATCAGATTAGCAAACTTTTTGTTTTTGGGATATATGATATCCCAAAAATAGCAAATGAGGATTTGTTTGTCTCTCAATACAAACACTTAGGTTTTTAAAATTCTTCTATTAATTAAACAGCTGAAATCTGGGATCCAACTAGTAAACTGCTGCTTAAATTCCAGGAAAAAAAGCAACAAAGGTTCTTTGTTTTCTTCTGACTTGCCGTTAAGCTCTGTCGGTCACAGGCTGCAGGAAGAACAGGAGAGCGATATTAGAGGAATCCATACATTTAGTGTCTCTGACATGGAAGGTACACATAACATTGTAATCACATTTTTGTAGCATGGTCTCTATTGTAGAATATTTATAGATCTTACCATGTTGGTAGCCGGAAACCTGCATGAACCTGAATTTGATTTCACCATGAGTGCCGATGTTGCCAGTGCCTCACCTTGTCTGCCTTTAGCTGGCCTCCTGCTGGAGCCTTTTCCTGCGCCTCTGCTTTGGACTCGCTCTGTGAGGAGGGAGCCGTTGCCTTGGGTTCGGCCACATCATTGAGCTTAGCCTCTGCATTAGCATTAGCATTAGACTTGGAGCGGTCTACTTTGGGATCACCTTCTGCCTCTGTATCCTTCGGCCGCTTGGGTGACGCCTGCAAAAAAGGTTTGGATCGAAAATGTCATCGTAGTATGAACCGAATATTAAGCCCGCTACTTAAGCTGCGTGAGGATGGCGGACTCGAAGCTCACCTCTGTGGGCTCCTCCGCTTTTCGTTTGGCTCCTCCCCTCTCGTTCTTCTCGTCGATGACGAGGGCCCCTTCATCCTCATCACTGCTGCCCTCGGCATCGGCTTTCTCCAAACTTGCGGTGTCCCCTGCCTCTTCTGACGCGCTATCCTTCTTCGATGACTACAAGTTGAGATTTAAATGAGTGAAATAAAAAAAAGAATCCGTCAAAGTCTGGAGTTGGACCCACAAGAACATACCGTCTTCAATTAGTGAACAGTGAAGTTATTTTACGTTCTTCAAAGCACGTAATGTAAGTTTCGCTACAAATGATTTCACAAGGTTCTTACAGACATGTAGACGTGTTGTATTGACTACAATTTTTTTTAATCTTTCTGGGCCAAGAAGAAAATGTCAACACACTCGATGCGTGATTGGTTGGGTTTCACTGTAGAAAAGCATATCAATATTTCTTGTCTTTGTTTGCATCTCTATCCTTGCACCATAAAGTAAACTCTTTCCAAAAAAGGCAACAGGGGGTTTCCGGCAGGTTTCCTTGTTTTGACCCACAGTACAATAAAATACCCTTTGCCTAAATCCTAGAAATACACACACACCTCATAGCCTTCATGTGTGACCGTGGGGTTGTTCTCAATCTCCCAGAGTCCCTCAGTGAAGCCTTTCCTCTTGTTCGCTTTCCCAAATTTCTCCTTATTTTCGTCGTACGGGGACAAATCCTTGGCCCCCAGGAATGCCCTGTGGAGGTCAAATGTAACTGGTTTTCTAAATGTCCACTTAAGCACAATGACTGGATCTGTGTAATAGGCAGAGATGGTGTTACGCCACAGTAGCTCTGGCTATTTCAACATCTGGATAAAGGACAACACATTCTACTAAATTCCCTCTGTGCTTTAGTGATAAATAAGTCAAATACTTTTAAAACAGAAATCATTTGTAAATTAATTTACACAACTCACTTATACTGTTATTTTTTAAACTGCATTACTTGACTCATGTAATGCCACTAAACAGGAACACAGAAAATAAACTAGTTCTAGAAGAGATAGGTTTCAATTTCTTAAATTATTAATGTATTTGCCATCATCTAGCATCAGCACACACATTACTCACGTCTCATGTGTCCCAAAAAAGAACACCTGATACTTGTTGGAGGGGGACTTCACGGCTCCTTCAGGCAATTCGTCAATCTGTGAATTAAGGTTATTGAGAAAAGAATGAGCTTTGTGGAAAATGACAATGAAGAACGACTCAAAGTCACTGCACCAACGTCAAATCAATGCCCGTCATTTTTTCGGAATAACGTTCCAAATGATAAAAACTCGAGGTAATGAGGAAAGAGCATTTGATAAGCTTGAAAATGTTTGGTATTTTCTTTTCATAAATGAGTCAATAACTATTGACACATGTCATGTGTGTCAATTATTATCAAAATTAACTTTTGCCATTAAACCAAATAACAGAAACTATATTAATAGTTCCAACAATAGGTGCAGTAAAGGCTCCATTGAGTATTCCAAGTTACTTAATCCACTTATGAGCCATTTGAAAGCAGGCTCTTTGCGCTTTTTGTTCAGATCTCTCGGTTAAGATTGTTGCAACGCCCACTGGGTCTGTGTTTAACTGTGTTTTTAAACTGGGCCGTAACAGTGAGGTGCAGGAAGGGCTGCTGTCTGATTGCAAGCCGCTGAGAGGTGGGGCCGGACCTGTGGCCTGCTGCCATGGCTGATAGGACCAGGAAAACTGGGGGGGGGAGAGAAAGAGTCCCATTGCATCAGACACCAACTTCAATATGCTTTTGTATCAAGTGACATTAATTGCATTTCACTTTAGTTACGTTATATGCGTTATTGTAGTTAACTTGACATTTTTTCCCCATGCTGAATAAAGATCCACTGAAACGTTGAGCTGCTGGGTCTCTATGGATGTTGTAGACATTAACGTGACATTGTGGTCTTATATACTGTTCTTGAGGAGCCAGAAACGTATCTTTCCGTTATGGGAGAATCCCTAAAACAAACGAGCACACACACACACTGTTAACTTATTAGTTGAACTGGATGCGGGCAGGCAGGCATGTTTACAAAAGCATCGCAGCGTACGGCCACACAGGTGGCAACAGTTACTAAGGGGAACAACGTGCAGCTCATTTCAGCTAAGATGCAACGTTAGCTTAGCTAAGCTTCAAGGTGGATTCCTATTCCCGTCTTAAAGACGGCACAATTTAGAAGACGCGGACGTTTACTCCGTGTATGTCACCGCGGTTGAATTTAGCAGACCTCCCGTTGTCGTCGCACAGCGGCTCTCCTCACCGATGACTTAGCCTTTATCAACGTTAGCTTAACGGGGCCCCCGGGAGGCGAAAGCGGCACACGGAGAGGGGGGGGGGGGGAGAGACAATAAAAAAAAGGGGGTAGAGAACAGCTTCACACAACACTCATATTTAGTAAGTCGAGCGGGGTGACGAGCTGTGCGGCTGACGACTCACGCGAAAAAAAATGTGCCACGGTTCGCAGCCGGCTAACGATGGCGGAGCGCGGCTCGCGGATGCTGGGCAACGTCAGCTAACGCCGCCGAGCTAGGCTAACTCATGGTGGCTAACGCGAGCTACCGCTAGGCCGTGCGGGTACACAGGCGATAAGAACAGGCGGTCAGAAGGACTGGAATCAATGCCGAACCGTAAGATGGAAACGAGACGCTTCGGTTGCTTACCCTCGCAGGCCACTGTGGGTAGCCCTTCATTTTAGCAAATACAAGATCCCCCGGTTTGTATTCTCGTTGCCTGTTGGACCTCGGCATGTTGTTGTTTTTTTGCAGATATGACTCGCTATGTCAGATAACTTGTAGGAGTTTTAAAAAAAAAAGCGTAGGTCAGTGGTTGTATTGTGGCGCCGCGTCCGGGTTCTTCAACACCTGCTGCAAACGAGCCGAGCCTCGGTTTCTCATCCAGATTTTCACCAGGCGCGTAAAAACTGGAGCGAAGACGAAGGCACGCGACTTTTCTTCTTCTCTTCACGGATTCTGAGGGCCGCAATCACGGCCGGCGATAAGCACACCGGGCTGTGTTTGACTAACGCCACACTTCGAATAAACGCGGCAACTGTATGGTTTTTAATATTATCCCACGACCCAGTGACTCGTCGCTTGGACTGTTGGGGGTTTGAAATTGAAACCCGCCTCCCCCACAATCTGCACAGTAGCGCCCCCAGTGCACGTTCAAGATTTGTCAATTTGTAGAAGCAAGAACAAATATTATTCGCATGGAAATTTGCAGAGCTACGGTTTAACTGAGGTAGAAATACTTAGGGGATGCACTTTAAATAAACCACAAGTAAACGGACCAATTCAATGTAGATGGCTGGATTCATTTGCATGGAGACCCAATATGTGCAATCTCTGAATTGTGTACAGTTCTTGTACCCAAGCGTATGCTGTGTGGTGATTTAACTAAACTCACTATATTTATGAATATGCAACATATGCACAACATTAAATAAGGTATTAAAGTACAAGGATGTCTCCCAATTAACAACACACAGGTAATTCCACTATCAAGTAAGGTTGTTATTACCATACATTATCTATCAAGCAAATGCACTCCTTCACAAACCAGATTGAATGTCCGTTTTGAATCAGACAAAAGCATGTGGTAACCTAAACATTCATTTCAAATGTAATTGTTGGAAACCTCAATTCAAAACCATGGACATTAATATACTGCTCTAACAACCTACTATCTAAAGAATTAGATTGTGTGGGAAAATGCTACAGGGATTGGCAAGGTTGGCTACTGAGGTTAGACAATATATTCAGGCTCACAGTCTCTATATCAACACCGGAAGGGATGATCATTTATGCCTTTATCTCTTCCTGTCTTGATTATTGTAATGCACTATATTCCTCATTCAGTATGTCTGCAATTAACCGTCCGCAGGTAATTCAGAAAGCTGCCGTAAGATTACTCCCTATAGGACAAGGACGGTCTCACATCACCCACATACTCAAATCTCTTCACTGGCTCAATGTAGAAAATAGGCTTTAAAATTCTCAGTCTCACTTACAGAGCATTACACCGTCAGACTCCTGAATATTTGACTAAAGTTCTTTGCTTAGCTCTTATTTACCTCATTTCCATGTTTGTATCAACTGTTCTGTAAATGATTGTCCCTTGTATGTGTTATTTATGAATTCTTCTTTGAAATAGCACTCCTGTTAAGCACTTTGGGACTTGGATTTGTCAAAGCCACTATTTAAATACATTTGACTTACTTAACTATGGCCGAATTACTCCTAAAGGTGTTGCTGGGTAGACATTAGGGCTCTGCAAAGGCCCCTCAAGTTCCTCCACACTAAATTCAGAGAAAAAAAAAAATCTGTTTCGATTGATTTGATTTTTTTCTTCAAACATGGAAGAAAATAAGGAAAGATGAGGCTGTTTGGGATTTTATAATGCAAGCTAATCACGGTATTCAGTTGCAGATCAGGGCTGACCAGGGCTTTAAACATATTAATGGCAGTTAATGCATGTTTCACCAGAAACCCAAACTACGTTTTTCAATTACCTGAATATGTTAATTGACTCAGTAGACTGTTGCTGTAACATGATAATACTCACCCTGTCCACGTGGGGCGCTAATGTGCTGGAGTTGTTTACCAACTAAAAAATACAGACGAAGAAGAAGGAACCAAAGCCGCGCAAGAAGCTGCGCAGTGACTGTTTTTTTAAATCATGAACGATGGAGGCGAATGTTTTGATGGAGTCTCGGGACTAAAATAAGCTGTGCTCTTGTGGTTTGAATCACAGCCGCTGCTTCAACCGATGTCATATTATGTGTAGGAAGATATCTGAGGTGAATTTAGTGTGACTAAAGTAAGACGGGGCCAGTTAGCCAACACCGTTCGCTGCTGCGGCCTTAGCTACCGTTAGCTTTCCTTTAATGAGCTCACCGCGCGGCTCTCTCGTAAACCGCTGTTTCTACTTGACACTACAGCTCCATCAGAAATGATTCCGTAATATTTTAAAACTGTATTTATCGACCATTACCGTACCTTTTATAATAGAAGTTTAGCTCGTCGGAAAGTGAGCACTGCTTGTTGAGACCAACCCCCGGAGGAGCGGATATCCGTGACCCGAGAGTTCCTTTAAGAATAACACTATTTAATACCCTCAGCAAACATGTCTTTAACGTTGGTTGCCTACGGCAGCAGTGACGACAGTGACTCGGAAGACACTCCTGCACCACGGGAGAGCAAAGTTGGCTCCCGGGGGCTCTTCTCGGCCCTGCCGTCTCCCAAGAAGCCAGCATCGACCCGAGGACCGAGAAAGGAGACGAAAGCCGAGACGTCCGACGACGACCAAACGTTAGACCCGCAGTCATCCAAAGCGGGATTACTTTCCAGTCTGCCCAAACCCAAGAAGCGAACCGAGCCCGTCAAGATCAGTGTACCGCAGATCCAGAGACGGGATGTGAGTATCGAGCCCTTTGCTTTTGACGTGCTGTCGCTCCCGTGGCGTCCAACTAGGCTGTAATCAATAATCTATTTACATGTTTTGTCTACAGTCAGACTCTGACGACGATGAACCAGCGAAGAAGAAACTACAACCCCAGGTAAGGATGACTAGTATATTATTTAATGCCTTTGCATAGTGTTGTATAACTAGTATCAAACTTTTTAGGACTAATTGCGCTGTTCCCTCCTCCCAGGGTTCGGGCCTTTCCTCCCTTCTACCACAACCCAGAAACCTGTCAATCAAGGCGATGGATAGAGCCCTGATTCCTCACACACTCACCAAGCGCCAAGAACCAAAAGGACCCAAGTCCGGAAAGCCTGCTCAGGGTCTGTTTGATTCGAGTGCGTCTCCCTCTGCTATCAAAGCTGCGGCAAAGTCAGCTGCCTTGCAGGTGGCTCGACAAATCGCCACAGACGACCAGGACGAGGAGGACATAAGCCCACAAAACTACTTTTCTCTGGGCGAGAGCCCCCAGCGCCTCCCCGCAGTCGCCCCGAGTTTAGACCCCGAACCAGGAGCCGCTGCAGAACCTGTGGCACTTGTACTTGCCCCTGCAGAGCCTGTTGCATTTGCACTTGCCCCTGCAGAACCTGTTGCGCTTGCACTCGCACCTGCAGATGAGCCGGGTCAGTCGGATGCACCTCTCGACTTTGGGGGGAGCCATGAGGGAGCTGGTGCGTGGGCAGGTCAATATCCTCTGTATCAACAGCCCGTGGCTGGCCCAGAATCTCTCCCTCAGGTAGTCATAACTCATGTACAAGTACCTTGTACTGTATACATGTATCAGACAAATCACTCTAGATTCTGATTGGGGGGGTTGAACAAATATAAAACAGAGCTCACGTAACAATATATATTTTTTTCTCCTGTCAGGGATACTATAATGAGCCATACTACCAAGATCCTGAAACTGGATCGACAGAGACTGAAGAGCCCGGCAACTCTGCCATGTTTGACGATGAAGCAGTAAGACGTTTGCTGTTTTTTCCATCTAAATTGTTTTGTGCCATTCTTTACAAGTAGGGATATTTGTGGTAACGTTTGTGGCTGCATTAAACCCTGTTCAACACGTTGTTTTACTTAATATCAGCCATTTCTCCCTCTGCTTTAGTTCATGCGGCTGCAAGGGAAACGGAACAGAGGCAAAGAGGAGGTGAAGTTCCTGGAGATCAAAGGAGACGACCAGCTAAGCGGCAACCAGCAGTGGATGACCAAGAGCATGACCGAGGAGAAGCAGAACCGGCAGTCCTTCAGCAAGGTGACATGACTGGACCTCTGGGGTTGGGTGTAGTCTTGTGTTGAGGTTTATGTTCCGTTTTTAGCTTTTGGGAAAGTTGAAATTCAGAACACCTAAAGTCCCGCAGCCATAAAGTGTTTGACGAAACCTAAAAAAAAATGTAACTGCCTTAAACGGCGTACATAATATTCACATGGACGTAAATGAATTTGTTGGTACTAATCTTTGAGGTTTATACTAAACATTGCTAAACTAATGGCGCGTTTCCACCGAGCGGTACGGGTCGGTACCCTTTTATTTGTGTCTCCACTGCCAAAAGTTGAGAATGGTACCAAAAATCCGAACCGTACCGTACCCTTCCGTTGGAGTACCTGGCACAGTTGTTTGGTACTAAAGGGTGGAGCCAGACTCACTGTAGAACGTTGATTGGTTGAAAGAGTGTCGTCATTTGCGCGTGCCGCAAGTGTGTTTTTCCTTGCAGCATGTAGCCTTTGCTCGACAAAGATTGTTGTCTCCTTGTGACAAACAGCCACATATCGAGATGCAATCTCTGTAGGCTGTATGTCCTCCATTGTTGTTTGCGGTTAGCTTTCAGTTTTCGCACGATCGAATGACGTCAATCTACTTTCAGTCATATACCACGCCTATCAAGTGACGTTATCACCACTTTGTGGAATACACCACGCCTATCAAGTAAGGGTACTGTTCGCAGTGGAAACGCTCGCCAAATCATGGTTAACAGAACTGACCCGTACCGTACCGCTCGGTGGAAACGTGCCATTAATCCACTATCTGACAAGAACACCTTTCAATTTATACCTTTCCTTTCAACTATTGTCTACTTTTTAACCTTTTTTCCTTCATATCTGCAGAAAAATAAAGAACTTCCTACAGGACAACAGCGACGCAAGCATCAGATAACTTATCTCATTCACCAGGTGAGCGCTACCAAATGTCTGCAGTCCATGAAACAAGCTAAAAAAGTTCCCAAATGACTCTGAACTTTGCCTGTAGTTTTCCTTTTAACGTTTTTAGCTTAACAATCATGTTTGGCTGGTGTTCCAATTTGACACACCCCAGATTGTATTTATTCATCAAGTTGGTATTCTGCACTCATGTTTGTGTGCTCACTCTGAATCTGAAGTTCACTCAATTTTCTTTCGTAGGCAAAGGAACGCGAGTTGGAGCTGAAGAACAGCTGGGCGGATAACAAGCTGACCCGCCGGCAGACGCAGGCCAAATACGGCTTCTAGAAGTCATACTATGGACTCTTGGTGGCATGTGGAAACCCTGTATTAGAAAGTAGTTTCCCACATATCCCTACACACTGGGAGGATTTATGTTTGGGAAGACATAATACACCCTCCTGTATTTGTGTTATTATATTATTTAGTACTTTTCTCCAACTGTTTCATAAGGTTACTTTTGTACGGTCGTTAATTCTCCTTCCACAGTCATTTACAGTAAACATAGGCTCCTCTACAGTTTGTAAGGTACCCGTGGCCAATCAGTGGCAGATGATGTAATGTGTCCTTGAAGAGGCGATTATAAATGTTTTTATTTGGAATCGTCCGGTTTCCTCTTCATGTAGTGAACAGGAATCACTTCTTGATGGCGTTTGATGGATACAGTCCACTCTACAAACTGGTTTGGTTGTCTGGCAGTCACACAAATCTTAGTAAAACGTTGCTTTTGATAATAAAATGAACCACAGGCAATAGAAAGCTGCATCGCATTTTGTAAAGACAAACCTGTTGCGCTGCAGTGGCTCACAATAACTCATTAAAGTAAGGCTGTAAACACGTCCACGTCTGTCACTTATTTCAGCCCTAATTTTCTTTCATACCTGCATCAGTTCGACATCCAGCAGGCATCTTGCTCTAGTAGTTTTCTCCTAAATCCTTTGAGAAGTCTTTTATTAGTGTGTTACGGGCAGTGGGGAAACCATTTAGCCTCTTCACTCTACTCTAAATAGCAATCACATTAACCTCTTGAGTTTTATTTTAGGTGGCTGAAAGGAGGCTGTAACCATCTTTCTGCTGCTCCAGTTAGTGGAAGATTCTGCTGTGTAAATGAATGAGTGGCTTTCCTTCTGCCGGTGAGCCAGATTCTTTCTCATACAATGAAGCCGTGTTAAAGTAAACTGTTCCATGTGTTGAAACAAATTACTATCCTAGAACACGTAGCATTTTACCAATGGCTGAGAACTTTAAGCGTGTTGTGCAGTTAAAATTGAAAGAATAAAAATGTTTCCTTCTCCAACTTCATTCCTCTGAATGTAACAGGGTGGTTTGGTTGTGTCTGGTTTCACAATGAGGCAGGTATTATGTACAGTAAGCTCAATTTATCAAACCATTTGATTCACGTGTAATATAAAGTAGTTCACTTACATTCATTATAATTGCATAAATAATGACGCAGACAACTATTTAGATTCATGTATAATTGTATTATGAGTAAATCACTGTGGTCCATTAGTCTTTTTTCGAGCTGTTACTTCGCGCTGTGGTGTCTCTGGACGAGCTGCCGTTTCCTCTTCTGCAGCTCCACTGACTGGCCTCACAGAGTCTTTACCTGCTTCAGCTTCTACTGCAGCATCAGGAACACCACCCACAGCTGCTCCCACCTCCACCGCAGCATCATCATCATCAACAGCCGCTCCCACCTCCACCGCAGCAGCAGGTTCGGAGACATCGGCATCGGTTTGCTGCCTTTCTGCTTTCAACTGTCGCTGATAACTAGCAGACGGGTCCTCGTACGGCAACAGTGAAATGGGGACACGAACTGTGTCCATTCCATTAACCTGGAGGAGAAAAGAGTATGAAGAATAGGCATTCTGGTCTGTAATTGAATAATTACTGTAGCCAAGCTAAGAGTGAAGGTAATTAGACAGAACCCTACAGAAAGGGTTAGTATTCATTACATGTGACTATTGCATTTATCAAGACAATGTTTTTTCATCCAACACACAATACACATAATAAAAAAATAATTCTATATATATATTTTTTAAACCTTAAAAAAGGTTCAATAATTCTATATATATATTTTTTAAACCTTAAAAAAGGTTCATTTCTCAGTCATCAAGCTTGTGATGCACTGAAAAATGACCTTAACTTACTGTAATTTCACACCAGTAGTCCCCCACATCTCTGACTGACTCAAAGGCGAGACTCAATGCATGAGGTGGCACCACAACTCCAAGCTGAGGAAGAAGTTTACTTAGCTCAATAGAACAAATACTTGTATGTTCAGCAGAAGCACTTACTTAACTTATTTAATGTCAAACAGGAAAAAATGTGAATGAGGTGACAGACACGGCCTTAGAGACGACCTTACCTTCTTCTGAAAGTGTCTGCAGACCACCTCCTTATTGAGCTGGAACTCCTCTAGGGGCATCTGGTGTATTTTCAACTTTGAGCGTTTCAGGATCTCCACCGTCTGTAAAAAAACAAACAAAAAAAAAACACGTTTTCTTAGGAAACCGTTGTATAAAAACGGACAGCTGTTAACTCTATGACCAGTATGGAGGAAGTGAGCGTTGAAGTAAACAAGAAAATTGTTTTTGATAACTTACCATTAGTCCAGTGCGTGTTTGGATTCTTTCCTCTGGCTTCCCCTCACGCAGAAGCTGTTGGGATAATTCATTATTAATGTCTGTACATTGCTAAATATGCAGGGAAATAAATTACAGCATTCAAATTGAGTACGCACTCTTAACTCCTCGGCAAACATCTGTTTGTTGTCCGGCGATGGATACACGGCGAGGCCTTGGGACAGCAGCTTATTTCTTCCAACGGACTTTTTCACAAACACAGTGTCTCCTCGCCCGCCAAGCTCTGTGAGTCAGTTTAATAACCAAACAAGTTTTTCATTGGTTTTAAGACAAAATGACTGTGGGAGGTTTGCGTTTGTAGATACTCACTGGGTACGGTCTGAGTCAGGATGAGCTCCATCTTCTCTTTGGGAGCAAGTTTGGTGTCTTCAACCAACTTGTAGACGCGGTGTCGTCGAGGGTGAAGCCTGGGCGGACTGCCGACTTTAGATAAGGGCACCTGCCACCAGCGCTCCACCACAACGGTGTTCTGCAACATTAACCACAAACCTTTAGAGTCCGCTGTCATCAAGCCAAAACCTACTTTACTTTAATTGAGTGGATTTGTTTTCTTATTGACAGTGAGGTGCGATTCTGTGGACCGAGTTTATTATACTTCCATATACTCACTACCAGCTGATAGTATGCATGGCAGTTTTAAAATGCATTACTCGAACGACAGGAACCAAAACAGTTGAGTTTAATTCCCACCTTCAGATTTAACAATGTCATCAAGTTTCCAACTTTTATTTAGAGTTAAAATAAGAGCAGGTGAGTTGGTAAACAAAAAGTCAAATCAACAATCAAGTTGTAACGTTATAATAGGAAATAAATACATTATTCATGGAAATAATATTCTCTGGTAACAGGTTCTGAAATGCCTCGAATAGCTGCTTATGTGCATTTTATGATATTTATAATTGAATATCTTTGTTTTGGACTGATGGTCTGACAACAACGTTGCAATAACGTGTTTTCACTACTAATGTTAGATTATGTTTTATTAAAACATAACATTCAGCAGGTGGAACACACCGTTTTGAAACCACAAACACTGAACCCGAACACTCGTTTCGTAGCATTACATCTCGTGTCACGACAGACCTGCGGAGGAGTCCGAGAGAAACTCCTGACAGCCGGCTGGCTCATCAGATCCTGAAGGACACGACGGCCTGAGCTCCACATGTTCGTCCGACGCTGAGATTCACCACCTCCAAGGGACCACCTCAAATGAATCACTAAAAAGGTGGATGCTGTCCGGGTTTAGGCGCCTGCACCGTGCATTTATTCCCGCGTCGCTGCAGCGCGTGACTTTGTGTTAGCTAACGGATGCTAACGGTGACGAATGCTGTTGGTTGAAGACGAAAAAGGACCACATCGGCTGAAATAGAAGTCCCGGCAGAAGCCTGAATTAAAAGTCGTAGTGAATACAAGCTTTTCAACTTTAAAGATCCCATTTCTTTTGTATTTTTTATTTTATTTTAATTTTAATTTGTTTGTTGATTCATACATGTTATTAGGAAAATGTTACAATGTTAGAAAAATGAAACAGACAATGAGCCAAAAATAATATTGTGTCTTTGTTCTCTCTGATCCATTTCTTTCTTTATCTTTTTGTTCCGTACTTATTCCATACATTATTTGTAATGCTGCAGCAATTTTTTGGTGTCCGATAAAACCTCAAAGGCGCACATGTATCATTGCACAGGCTACAGCACACATTCAGATACTTGTTTTGGCTGAAGTTCAGTGGTTTAACTTCTCATCTTTGATGTAATGATGTAGAAGTATCAACTTCTCTTTTATCAACTTTTCTGTTGGTATCAACCGGTAGCATGTAATGAAACAGGTGTTGCCAAAATGTTCACAAGTGAAGTAAGGCACCTTTCTTCAAAGCTATTGACAACAGAGCCCGTAAATTCTTTACGGGCTCTGTTCTCTAGACATAAAAAATCTGCATCACACATCACCACCAGCGGGTTCGTGAGAATGTCTAGTGGAGCCATAGAAACTATATCGGCCGGGTAACAATCTGTTTCCTGAAATGGCACACGTAGCGCAGGTCACCAGAGCAAAGCAGCAACCGCAGATGAAGATGAGGGTTGCTGCGGCCCACACCAGGGTGGTGACAGCGAAGGCAAACTGGTATGTTGTCCTGTGGCAGTATCTAAGTGCACCGGGTGTGTAGTCAGGAGGATAAACAGGATAAACCCAGGTGCTGCCTGTGGGAGAATGTTTCAATTCAATTTAGATTCAAAACTACAGACTGAATCAAACTTAGAGGCTCTGAAAAACATATTTTTTCAATCAGCTTTTTATGTGACTGGAACCAACATGAACCCAAACAGTTATTTTGCATGTGAGATCTCGGTCTGTGCTGTTTTTAAACCGAGTGTTGTCTGTTTTTGAAAACCAGTGAAATAAAAACATTAAAAAAGTAGCATGAAAAGGAAATAGTCAGATTTGCTCCAGCACGTGAGCAAATTACTTTACACCACTGCCTGAATGTAAAGATAATCTAGAGAAATATATCTAGATATAACATTTCTGCTACATTTTCTCTCACCTGCAAAGAAAAGGCCGAAACTGATGAGGTGCAGGATGGCCGTGCAGGTGGAGCACATGATGGAGACCATGCCTTCCCCCCAGGTGGTGGAGGTGTAGGTCAGAGACAGAGCTAGGAGGTTGGATACTCCCAGAGCTATAAGGTAAATGGGGATGTTGGACTGCACTGGGCAAAGGCTTAGATGTGTAGCTCCTATGAAGAAAGACTATGTTAATATTAAAATGGATTTGCGGAAGATTAATGACAAAATATACCGCCTGCTGTCAAAAAGAAATCACATAGATATTAGAAAAATACAAAAATATTAGAGAAGTACACCCACCCAAACCGATGGCTGTAATCATAATCATCCACCAAATCATATTCAGCACAACTGCGAGAAAGGAAGAGGGTTAAGGATTGGTATGAAAAATACATAAGCCAGGCATAAAAAAAGGGAGAGAAAAATACTTCTAACCAAGTGATGCAATTAGCACGGCACTTTGAGGCCTGACTTCGTCCTGTGGAGACGGGTTCATATCTGTAAAGAAAGAAGGAGTCTTATTATTTATACACAAACATGGACAGGAGCTGCAGCAGCAGTGTCATACTGTACCTGTCCAGCTTTGAGGAGAGACACTTTAAAGCCCTTTTTCTTCTGCTCTTTTTAAAATTAGTGTCGACGTTGAAAACGTCTTGAAGTGTCACCTTTTTATTTTTTAGGAGGAAGTTAACGCATGTTGTTCAAGCCAAAGCATTTCGGCATCTGTTTCTGCAACGCTGCGCGTGGAGGAAGCGATGATTCAATCTATCATGAAAAAAAGACCTCTTTCCTGCTATGTGGGTTTGAAACCGCATCTCACTCACATCTCCTGTTTGTCTTGCAAACTACAGGAACTGCTTTTGAAGTGTCATGTTCTAAAATTCATCGGTCAATAAATGGTAATGGGATTGCGTTGTTAAGGAGTCAATTAATGTAATCTATAAGACTAAGTGGTAAACTTGCAAGGTTGCACAGAGTGAAAAGTATGCAAATGATTTATTATTAAAATAGTTATTATGATTAAATTAAATCATTAAAAGGTGTCTGTTAATTTGACAGTGTGTTGGTATTTTACAATCAAATCTTTAGAATGAAACCCCAATTAAGATTTTTTCAACAGTGAAGCTGATGGCCCGTTAATTGAAAATAAACAAAAAATAGCTTGTGTCCAACTGATGTGAAATCACTTGAATCATTTTATGTAAGTTCAACGCTAAGTCAAATCATTTCATAATTTTCAAAAGTGAACAATAAACCATATAAAGACAATAAACACAAGGTGTAATTAGCAATCTGCTGCAGTAAGAATGTGGCTCAAGTTATTTGACAGTTGGCCCGATGAGGTGATGCAGAGGTGGACAAACCAACAACAGGATGTTAACACAACCTGACAGCATGTGTCTCTGCAGCAGCTCAATCAGTGACAATGAAACACGACTGCTTGCATCGGTCCTTGAGCCGGGACCGATGCAAGCAGTCATGACCTGCCTGGTGATGTATATCTACCCAAAAAACAGCAACTATAATGCACTTTACCAGTTTTCACTGTTGTTTAGTGCTTCACAAACTTCCACGCTACCATTTCTGATACGATCAATGCAACGTTTATTTTGTTTCCATTATCTTTGGTGAATGACTCAATGAGAAGGCACAATTTACATCATGTCCGTTACAGTAAAGTAGTAAGGTTGCAACTATAATTGCATTAATTGATGTCCATATTGATGTCTCATTGATTGTACAGTCACTGACAAATCTACTATTCCCTTGTGCGTGATTTTGGCTCAGGCATTAACTTTTAAATTAAATATTCGAACATCTTCTTTTTCAGAGAAGAAATTACATATTTCCAACTTGCCTTGCCAGATACGGTGATAATGCCATTCCGGCTATTTTTGGCCTCTTTCAGTTGGAAGCTAATGATCATTTCAATAATAGGAGCGGCAGGGAAGTCCATGCATACAATTCCAAGGCGCTGGTTCAGGTCTGTCTTGGCCCTCAGGTAGTCGTGCAGCTGTGGATTGACGCGCTGAGCGACGGCTCTGGGGAACGCAAACACACCAGCTCCGCTGCTGAAGGTGAGAAATATCTGGGCCTTGTTGCCTGCAGGTGCAGCCTCCAGGTGCTCATAGACGCTCTGCCATTTCTCCTTCACATGCAGAACTGTGGGTACCTACGAGAAACCGCAAAAACAATCATCTAGATTATTTTCAGGAACTATTCATGACATCACCATATTGTTGTGGTCCGGTGTTCCAGGAATACCCTTTGAAATGTACTTGGCAGTTTTTGATTCTGACCCTTTGACCGCTACAACTGCTGGCTAACTGAGCTGTAAGTGAGGCATCTCAGTGTATACAAAATTTTACAGAAAATGTTTGAAAAAGATGCTTTCATACACTCCAATCATCAGCTATGTCCAAGGAGCCATAGTGCATCCCCAAGTCCGGCCCAGAGAAGTCTTGCAGAACGACGAGTTTCCCTCTGGCCTCTCCCATGGTTGGCACGAGCCGGCTGTGCCACAGCAGGTCCCAGTTGGCGTAGCGATGGATGTGGTCGACCACAGCACCGTAGATGTCGTACGTCTCACTGAACTCCTCCTTCACGCGCATCAGCACCGTCTCACTGGGATACTCGCCGAGGAAGTCGGCCACACCCTCTAGAACTTGGCCGAAGTGCGCCCACTGATACGACACGCCGTGATGGATGGTGAGGTTCCCCTTGACGTGGCGGACACGGATGTCGAGGAATCGGACGCCGGCTCGGAGCTGGGAGGCCAAGCTCCAGGTCTGGCACTCTGCATAGACGCCGCCGTACAGGGCCATGGTGTTGTGGGTGCCGGGCATAGTGACCTCAGACAGTGGCTGATCATCGGGGATGCTCGCCATCCACGACGGGTTGAGGAACTCCGGGTCGGGTGTGTCATCGTAGTCTGGTCTCTGAATGGCACCGCGAGTTAAATCAATGATACTGAAAAATAACAGACATTTGTCAGAATGTGTCTTGTAGAAAATACGTCTAAACAAGATAGTCCTCGTTCTCAGAGGATGTCAAGGGTTGGGTGTCTTGTTGTTCATGAGACGAGAAGAAGAAAAAATGAGTAATTGAATTACAATTTATATGCTTTTGTACAACTTTTTTTAATCTATAATGTACTGTATTTAATATATTCTAAAACGTATAGCCATCCATTGTCTTGGCTGGTTAATTAAGTTGTTAAAACAGTGTTTTTCTTATTTCCAGCTAACATATTTTCAATTTACTCACCTAACTAGCACCAACAGCTCAATTAACCTCTTCTGTATTTTCACCGGACCTCCTCTGATGCCCCCCATCATTGATTGATCAGTTCTAATTATCAGCAGAGGCAATGGAAAGACAAATACAACTGAGGTCAGCATTTACCTGCATTTAATGTGGAAAAAGAACTGCCCCCCAAAAATCCTATTCTAATTTGATCTATACATTCAAAACAATCACAGCAATAATAAAAGCATATTTACATTCATGAAGCACAGGCAACACATGGCGGTTTATAACACTTTAAAATCTAAAGTTTAGATTAACGTCAATCCAAACTACCAATCAACTCTAATTCTCTCAGAGCTGAACATGCACCTGCCGATTACTAAAAAAGAAAAAATATTTTTGTTGAAAGCTAGCCAATATAAAAAAACAAAAAATAAACGGTGGAAACAATCCGATCCCGGACCAACTGAGATCGACCGCAACCCATCCCTGCAGGCCATTTCAATGGCAGGCTAAAACCTTCCTAATCCCAAAACTGAACCAGACCGCCCTCCGCTGCTGAGTCAAACATGCTGATGTGATGAAGTGCTGCTCCCGTCCGCACCTGTTCCTACCTGAAACCAGAAGGTACCCGTCCTGCGTCCGGTCCGGGTGCCCTGGGGGAAATAAAGAGAAAGAGAGAGAGGAGCGCAGGGGGGTCAGGCGCAAAATGACAGAGGCAGCGTGTTGACCTGTTGTGTCACTGTGGGAAACGCCACAGAGGAGCAGCAGGGCTCTGCGATACAGAGCCGGGGTGGGAGGAGAGTGTTTTGTGTGTGTTTGTGTGTGTGTGTGTGTGTGTGTGTGTGCTATCTATCTGATCCCATTCCTCATTTTTTTGTGTGATTCAGAAAGAAACACACAAGAAAAACAACTCATGAAAGTGGATCAACCAATGTGAATTAGTGCTAAACGGATTGAAAAAAAATAAATTGTATCTAGTCAACATAGTGACTTTATGAAGAAGAAATTATTACTTTGGCTACAACAGCATTCGGGGTTTATGCGTGTTCATGAAGGACAGGTGAATGTTTTCCCACCCGGCTCCTATCAGGGAGCCTGTGTACTTGTAGAACCATGTGTGTCCAAAAGTACTGAAATAAGTTTGTGAATTTTAACGGTGTCTGCATTTGTATTATTTGATCATATTTTTGAACTAGGTGTTTATTATCCATCACACACAATACTTTGTCCTTCAGAGGACACAGACCGAGGCAGTGCGTTCTGGGTGCAGGAGGGGATGAGGGAGTCCGGTGGGAGTGTGTCTGGTGTGTGTGTGTGTGTGTGTGTGTGTGTTCAAGGGATTGTGGAACATGGAAAAATCTGCAGATGTTTTCCTATGTTGTCTCATGTCACTAGGGGGGGAAGTCAAATATTATATAACAGACGTGTCCAATAACTGTTTGTTTAGCTGTCAATAATTATAGAGAGAACATTTCCAATTCCATAACTTTATAATAAATAATTAGCCAAGATTTACTTTCAAGGTGAGCAACAAAGAGGAATTTCTCTAAAATATACAATCAAGCTATTCACAATATTACATTAACACTATTTGAATTTTTTTAAAGCAACTAGCCAAGTTGATATTAAACAATATTTGGGGTAGTCCCGGGTGAGCAGGAGGCCGATGTGAGGAGACTGAGAAATGTATGGCTGTAGGCCATGATTTCATTCTCTATAGCACCGCTAGATGACACCGAAGGGACACATCTTCAAAAGCTCTTCTGCAAACAGAGCTGTCGGCAAGAGTGGACCGAAAGCACTGTGCAACTTAAATGAATGCATGATTGTGGCTACGGTATCAACATTTCTTTGATATTTCAGCTTTAAACTACCTGCATAATTAAATCCTATGATAAAAAGAATAATAATTAATAACAAATGACAAATGCTGGTACATTTTTAAAACAATCACTGTTAAAGTGTGCTCCTTGTCTGTGATGAGTGTATCGAAAGAAATATTGATGTTAAAAACTGCAAGCACCACAAACAAAATCAAATTCATCTCCATTCAACTTGAATTTTTAATTCTTGCCAAATAAACCCTAAACCATCTGCTTGCCCTTATAACAACTGATACAAATGACAAAATATATCTTGTGATCGTGTGATTTGGGTGAACTGACCAAACAAGTGTGACGTGTCTTTCTCTGCCCTTGACAATGGCAGGAATCTGGTCACCCATTCAAATTTGGAAGGTGTGGAGAACAGGGAGTAAAACAACGCAATGATGAGCTTGCCCTGTCATTCATTGTACGTGGGTGGAGCTAAAGGATCTCCCTTCATCCAATCAGTACACGGCATGCGTGAGTCACTTCCGGGGTCTCCTCCCTTATTTGGCAGGAAGGGGCGGTCCTCATCGACAGGGAGCGAAATGGTGGAAAGGAAAGTCAGTCAGCTTCAGTAGACGCAGTGATTCCAACCGTTTTATCTCTGGTGAGTAAACATCTTTTATATCACTGATTTCTAATCTATGACCAAAAGGATGTTATAAAATCGGTGTGATAACTGAGTCAGCATTAACCGACTAATGGAATGAACGTGAAAGATGGCTGATTCATGATATTTTTGTGAATCAGGAAATGAGAGAAAGGCTCTTAAACAGAAGTAATTAATACATCCCCACTTTAATGCCAAGGTGCCAAATAGCCATTGAAGCTATTTGAATTGATACAGATGGTACAACAAACGTCACGACAGGTTACCATTTGTTTATTTCCTGTCTTTCTTGTGTTACTATGAAGACACACCCACTGAGGTCCGAGTTATTTTTCCTGCAGGACTATTAATGTGAAAACTATGAGGAAGCTGCACCACAGATCAATGTGTGTTTAATTTAGATTAGGAACTAGATTTCTGTAATGCTGCACTTAACAGTTTTATTATAATTAACATGACTAAAGCTCAAAACACAATACTTTATATTAAACTAAATTCATTCTAATTTGTGACAGAAGAATAAATAGCAAAACTGTTGTTTTTGCTTTAAGCCCAAGTTTCCTCCTTAAGATGGAGCTTTGTTTATCCTTGCAGACAACATGAGCATGCATGTGATCTGTTGCCAGCAACATTAGACTGTAAGAGGACACGGTCTACAACATGGCTTTTGTGCAGCAGCTGGTGGCAAAAAGTTTGCCATGAGTTTAGTTTTTAGGCCATAGACCCTCTCACTAGTGATTTAGTTCAAGTTTTTAAATTGTGGTTGGAAGCTATCTTGCGTCTACATGCTTTAAACATCTAGTATTTTTTTTCCAGCCTCCAGACTTACTTTGGGCAGTGATGGCTGATGCAGAAAAGATCAAGAAAACTGCAGTCAAGGTGCTGTGCTGCGTGGAAAAGGTGTCTTCCTTCGCCGCCTCCATCGACCCCATCTTTGGGATAGTCTCCTCCCTGGTAGGTGTGGCTCGCAAAGGCCTTATCAAGGAGGAGGGCCACGCTCTGGACAAGGAGTTCCAGCCGCTCCACTCCAAACTGGAGACCATCTCCGAAAAGAACCGCCAATGCCTGAGGCAGATCCGCATCGACGAAGTGAACGAAACCTATGGCAAGTACGAGGAGCTCATTAAGCACCAGTACACTGCCTTCAATGACATGGTGGCAAAGGTGAAAAAAGATCCGGACAACACACAGCGCCACATGGCGGCCTTCGAGAAGACTTATGAGAGAGACAAGAGCGACATGAGCCTGGATGTGTACTACCGCGGGGTGATGGGTACCAAGCTGCTGTTTGGAAAACCCTTGCTGAAGGTCTACCTTGACAGCTGCGACGGCGACCGGGAGATCATGGAGCGCCGCTGTTCACACATCACCCACCTGTTCCACATGGGCCTCATCGCCCTCATGGCCTACACAGCTGTGACCGAGGATGACGAAGACGAGGTGCGGGAGAAGTGGGCCAAGAGGGTAGCTGAGATCCAGGAGAAGATGCAGGAGGTGCTCAGTCAGTGCAAAGACAACTCATCCTGAACATGGGCATCATAGCGAGCAATGTCTACTCTTAGCTGTGGACCAAAAAGACGAAAGATGTTATAAATATATATCTTTAAAAAAATGTCATGCTTTAATTATTGTTCTTATTGCTTCATTTTAATTATTTTACAGACGTTGTAAACATGTGTTTCAAAGAGACAATTGTATGTTTCAGTAGATTTATTATTTGGCAATATAAGCAGAAGTTTTGTACAATCGCTTGAATTAAAATTAATATATTATTGGTCAATAAAGTTGTATATTTGTGAAATCCATTTCATTCACAATAACACCTATGTTTTTAAACCCATCGGCACACACACGAAACCCTATTCTGTAAATAAACTCATATTACTTCTGTTGAACACATTTGATGTTAAACCCAGCTAACGTTACAATCTGTGGAGATGACACAGATGAAGAATAAAGTCCTAAAAACTATTTTATTCCTAACCTTTAATTACACCTGATAGAAAGAGACCCGTCCACAGGTAACCATATATGAAATTCCATGGCGGGTTGAAGATTAGCTTAGCTTAGCATGATGAATACAACTGGAGAAAACAGCTTGGCTGGCTCTGTGCGATGGAACAAAATGTGCTACCGACACTAAACTCATTGCAGGTTCTGAAGCCTCGCGCATTAAGCGCGAGACACACGCATTTCAACCATAGTTCACGCGCCACATCGTGAGAAGGCGGCGTTACACCGTCTCGGCCACCGTACGTTCGTTACTAAGCAACATAGACGCGCGAACACACGTGACAGGTGGAGGCTTCGCTTGCTACAATATGGCTATTAAATGTGAATAAAACTAGACTAAAATGTAATTAGTTTTCGTCGACTAAAACTAAGAAGGATTCAAATGACTTAATGTGACTAAAACGAAAATTAATTTTCGTCGAAAGACTAAGACTAAATCAAAAATAGCTGCCAAAAGTAACGCTGCATCGAGGGAGGCCTGCTTGGCTTCCTCACGGACGCGACTGCAGCTCGTCTGAGACCACAGGGTGCAGTACCATGTTTTCAACGCTCATTCACGACGTAACATTTAGAGGGGCGCTGTTCTACACTTCATGAGACGAGGAGGAGACGACAGAGACGCAACACAGGGATTACGTAAACTGTTCAGTAATACCCAATGATGATTAAATAAGTTATATTCTGAAAAAAAGTGAGGAAGCCTGGCTTCTCTTGGCCTCTGTAAGAAAACACCACTGATTGTGGACTAGAACCACGTATCAATACTAGTTTGATACAGCGGGCCAAGTTGTTTTCGTAAACATTCTGATCAGAATGTCAGAATCAGAAGCCACATATTTTACACATAAAGGAATTTGTCTTGATGATTGGTGCAATATAAGAATAAAATAAGGTAAAAATCTACACGCAAAATGAAAACAATATAAACAGATAAGTATGTTTAAATACAAATCTATGTACAGATATTTCCATGGCGAGAGAAACCACAGTGCACATGTTCTAGGGATGGAGTATTTGGGTCAATGGGGCACTCTGACTGGGTTCATGAGACCAACTGATGACGGGAAGAAACAGTTTCTATGGTGAAAGGTCTTGTTCCTGATGGACCTCCGGCTAGATGGAAAGGGCTCAGTTTGTGTTTGGCTACTTTGTCTTACTATGAAGACACAGCCACTGTGGTGCCAGAGTTATTTGTCCTGCAAGACAACATTGAGAAGGATAATTGATGTAAACAAATCTATGAGGAAGTTGCATCGCAGGTACATTTTTCTCTCTGTTCTCAGGAATTAGTTTGAGAGTCATGTAAATGCTGCACTGCTGAATCACAGATTCATTCTTGTCTCTGTTCTCAGGAACTAGTTTGAGAGTTATGTAAATGCTGCACTGCTGCATCACAGATTCATTCTTGTCTCTGTTCTCAGGAATTAGTTTGAGAGTCATGTAAATGCTTGCACTGCTGCATCACAGATACATTCTTGTCTCTGTTCTCAGGAATTAGTTTGAGAGTTATGTAAATGCTGCACTGCTGCATCACAGATTCTTGTCTCCGTGTGTAACGTTATGACAAACATTGTGTTTATGTCTTTAAAGTTCTACACTGTTTTCTCCATAACGAGAGCCTTTTGTGGTAAGACACTTGTAAAGTTTTTTCTTTCTTTATCCAAACACATTCACATATTCTCAAGTACGCCTCACTTTTCCATGTTATACTATGTGCTTGAGGGACATTAAAGAAATTAGTTTTCGTGACATATTTCAGTGGCATTCTGCTGCTCTCACTAGATGGTGCTGCCCATTTTAAATAAAAAGTTATTTTGTTTGTCAACACAAGTAAGCTGTCTTACTTGTTGTTGTTTTTTTGTGCGTTCCGCAGTATGAGAAGGTGCGTATCTACCACATGGACGGCTCGTATTGCTCCGTGGAGCTGAAGCGCGGCAACACGACGGTGCAGCAGATCATGGAAGGCATGAGTCTTTCACGGGACACCCAGCAGTACTTTACCATCTGGATCTGCTCAGAGAACCTCCGTGAGTCCCCTCAGAAGACATGTGACATGTGTTCATCCTCTGGCTGTCAAACCAAAAGCACAGACAAGCTTTTTTCATATCAGATTAGTTTGATTGGATCGTGTAGAATTGTTTTTAGTCTTCAGATTCTAAGAATTTACATTCAACTTGTATTTCTAATCCTCGGCAAAAAACACCTAAACCATCAGCTTGGCCTCATAATAACTAATATAAATGACAAAATATATCTTCTGTGATTTGGGTGAACTGAGCCAAACGGGTGTGACGTGTCTTTCTCATTGACAATGGCAGGAATCTGGTCGCCTATTCTAATTATGAAGGTATGGGGAACGAGGAGTAAAACAACGCAATAAAGACCTTGTCTGTGGGTGGAGCTGAAGGAGCTTCCTTCATCCAATCAGTGGGTCATTCAGGTGTCTACTACCTCATTTGGCAGGAAGGGGGATGTCCTCCTCGACAGGGAGATAAATGGGGGAAAGGAAAGCCAGTCGACTTCAGTAGATTCCACAGTAAGGCCGAGATCCTCCTTGTGGCAGTGGCAAGTGGGTGGCATCAGTGCCACTCGGCGCCCGAGTTATTTGGCCTGCAAGACAACATTGAGAAGGATGATGGATACAAAACACAAATATGAGGAAGTTGTATTGCAGATTCATTCTTGTCTCTGTTCGCAGGAACTAGTTTGAGAGTTATGTAAGTGCTGCACTGCTGCATCACAGATTCTTGTCTCTATTCTGGGGAACTAGTTGAAGATGCCTGTAATGCTGCACTGCTATATGAATAAATAACAACATTGTTGTTTGCTTTAAGTTTCCTCCTTAAGATGGAGCTTTGTTTATCCTTGCAGACAACATGAGCGAGCATGTGACCTGTTGCCAGTAACATTAGAATGTAAGAGGACACTGCCTACAACATGGCGTTTGTGTAGCAGCTGGTGAAATGTGGACCAGCAACCTGAGAGTTCGCCATGAGCAATGATTTAGTTAAAGCTTTTAGATTGTGGTTAGAAGATACCGTGCATCTTAAAGACATACTATATATAGTTTAAACATCTTTTATTTTTTTCCCAGCCTCCTGACTTACTTTGCGCAGTGATGGCTGATGCAGAAAATATTAATGACACTGCAGTCAAGGTGCTGCACTGCCTGGAAAAGGTGTCTTCCTTCGCCTCCTCCATCCACCCCATCTTTGGGATAGTCTCCTCCCTGGTAGGTGTGGCTCGCAAAGGCCTTATCAAGGAGGAGGGCCACGCTCTGGACAAGGAGTTCCAGCCACTCCACTCCGAACTGGAGACCATCTCCAAAAAGAATAGCGAATGGCTGATGCAGATCCGCCTCAACAAAGTGAACGAAACCTATGTCAAGCTCGATGGTAACATTAGGGACCAGTACACTATCTTCAATAACATGGTGGAAAAGGTGAAAAAAGATCTGAGCAACACCCAGCTCCACATGGCGGCCTTCAAGACGACTTATGGGGAAGAGAAGGGCGACATGAGCCTGGATGTGTACTACAAAGGGATAAAGGGTTGTCGTGGCGCAGGGGTTAGAGAAGGTGTGCTGGGAAGCACAAGGTTGTTCGATTTTAGGCTGCCCCATGTCGAAGTGTCCCTGAGCAAGACACCTAACCCCTAATTGCTCCCCAGGCAAAAATGTGAAGAAAAGCCATGGGTTTAAAGTGTAATGTAAGTCGCTTTGGATAAAAGCGTCTGCTAAATGACCTGTAATAATAATGGGCATAGAGCAGCTGTTTGCAAAACCTTTGCTGAAGGCCTACTTTGACAGCTGCAATGGCGACCGGAAGACCATGGAGCCATTTCATTTCACCATTTCATTCACTGTTCACACATCATCCACCTGTTCCACATGGTTCTCATCGCCCTCATGGGCTACACAGCTGTGGTCGAGGATGACAAAGATGAGATGCAGAAGAAGTGGACCAAGAGGGTAGCTGAGATCCAGGAGAAGATGGAGGCGGTGCTCAGTCAGTGCAAAGACAACTCATCCTGAACATGGGCATCATAGAGCGCAACGTCTACTCTTAGCTGTGGACCTAAAAGATGTTATGATATATACCTTTAATAAAACAGCCATGCTTTAATTCTCATTTGGGTTTTTGTATAAACATTGTATAACATTTGTTTCAAAGGGACCATGGTATGTTTCAGTTGATTATGTGCTGAAGTTTTGTACAATCGCTTGAATTAAAACTATTAGTCGATAATGTTGTACATTTGTGAAATCCATTTCATTCACAATAAAACCAACAATCTGTATTTTTAAACCCATCGGCAGCAGTAACCGATGTATTAAGGCTGTGGAGCCTTGTAGCTTTGAATTCAACCTGGATTAACATTTTGTATCCATATTACGCAGACACAACTTCTCCTCTATAAACTCGTAAAACTATTTCATTCCTAACCTTTAAATTACACCTGGTAGAAAGAGTCCCGCCAACAGGTAACAATATTTAATGAAATTCCATAGCAGGTTGGGAAATGAAGATTAGCAGGATGAATACAACTGGAGAAAACCGCTTGCCTGGCTCTGTGCGATGGAACAAAATGTATCTAGCGTAGGGCTGCATCTTTAAAACGAAGGACAGGTTGGGCGCCAGACAGGCAAGTAACCCACGTTATTCCCAGTCATATTTTTAATGTTATCTTCTGAACAATATGCAATAATGTACCCGACCAGCTGGGTACCCCTGCCGCAAATGTGTAAATTAAATCAAATACCAAATCAGGAAGCCCATCTACCTCAGAGAAAACAGCTGTATTCAAACATATAATCCCAATCAAAACTTTAAAAAAAGGTACAGCAGTTCAATATAAACATGTTTAAGCACACCAAATAATAAAGTGGAAAGTCCTTTGATGAAAGTCTCAGTTACGGAGTCCAGATAATGTCACTTTTGTGTTAAAAGTAGAGGCCGGTGTGTGTTGGGTCAGCCTGATCTCCAACACCTGTTCGTAAAAATGTATACGAAAATCTTGAAGATACAAATTAGTGATACATACTAAATAAATACGGACTGGCAACTGATGACGTCACCGTATTCAAAGTGAATGGGGACCTGCATCTGTAAACACACTTGTGAAGTCTAACGATGTAAAATAAACGTGTTGTGATTTCTATTTTTAACAAGAAATCAATGTTAAATTGTAAGAATACAATACTAACCCTAACCCCCTCAAAAAAATCCAACATGGCGGAGAGACGTTCACTCAAGAATCCAACATGGTCCGCCATGTTGTTCACTCAAGGGGCGTGGTTAACCACCACCAGTTAGTATGTATTGTTACGAATTTCTATGTCAAATATTTTGTATACATTTTTACGAACAGCTTTTGGAGATCACGTTGGTTGCGTTGCGTGTGGGGTGGTGAGTGTGAGTTGGATAATCCGGAGAAGTGTTTCTGCGGGGATTTATTCTTCCTATAGTCCAGGGCGGTCCAGAAGGTATCTCTGGCCGATTCTCTCTCTGGCAGTGTCGAGCAGGTGTTTTTGGGGTATTCCTCTCGTAGGACACCACAGGTCCAGCAACCAGCGATCTCCTGTTTTGTTTGTCCCTTCGTCTCTCACTCAGTTGTCTCTGTCAGTTGATTGTTTTTTTTGTTTTTTCGACTGCAGGTGTGTCCAATCTTCTAGCCTTCCTTGCCCCGCCTTCTTTATATTGGCCAGGTGGGAAAAAACAAGTCTGCAGGACAGTAAATATGCAGAGCACGTGCAGGTGTTTGCTGATGGATCTAAAGACCCAGATACGGTGGGAGCCAGAAGATAATGCAACAAAAAAGGATGCAAGCTGCCGTTAAACACCACAGAAGAAGAAGAAGACATCTGCAGACTTTGGTCTGCTACAGCTACCAACACCTCTCAGACTCACCAATTAAAAGGTTGTATGCAATTGATTTAATCTTTGGAAAACGAAATTTAAAAGGAAGATAAGATTCCCTTGTTTATCAGGGCGTTATGTTTTGCACTATTCTTTGACAGGGATTATGGGAGTCGCTCCTGCGAGTCGAGAAGATCCCAAACATGAAAACAAACGAATTAAAGTTTTTCTTTAACTTAAGTTACTGTATAACTTTCTAATATAATAGCTCATATGCAGTTATTGTAACCAGTGGACAGAGCAAAGCTTTCCACGTATTCAGTCTTTGTCCTAAAGCAAGTAAGTGTCGTTTAAGATTTAAATTAGTGATGACAATGAACAGGGAAACAATTGTTGTCAACAATAGCGTAAAATTGAATATTATTACAGTTATGTACTATATATTCCTAAATTTGATTTGACCAAAACGCATTTCATTTCATTTCACTACATTTTAGTACCAAAAACCGTCATTGAAAACCTTTAACAACGACGCTGCCGCACTAAGTCCTCTGTTGTCCGCCCCCCCGCCAGGTTCCAGGCGCGACACGCGACACTCCCACCGGACACACGTATCTATGACCTATGACCTATGATCTATCTATGACGTATCTATAAAAGTTGCTATAAACCTCTGTAGTGGTTTATCTTAAACGCAGTCAGAAGGGATCACGGGTGCCTTTACTGTAACATTTAAAGTATCATGGTTATTTTTTAGTAATTTTTTAATTCAACGGTTTAGTTTCTGAAATGTCGAGACGGAGGAAAGCAGCAAATAACTTCACTCGAGAAAAAAAAATGATGGAATGCTTTGCATTTTTGCTTGAAATATGACTTACACATGAAATGCATTAGCAAAATACTTGTTAATGAATTTTATATTGGAAGATGAAAATATGAATCTAACTGTAATCAGCCTAAATAGTGTATCAAGCATCAAATAACATTCCCAAAGGGTCATCACGTTTCTGGTATTTAGTTATTGAGGGTTCCTACTACTGATGCAAACAAGCGTGGCGGCAGTCTTCTAAGTACGAAGTGAGTGACTTATCTTAACGGTATTAAAACATTAATCCCCCCCTGTGTTCTCGTATTTCAGGGATGCCTCTCCCCAGCATTTGGCCCCTGTGCAGAAGGTTTTGCCGGGACTGAGAAAGCGTCAGCAGGATGGGCAACGAGGACGCCCTGGAGGATGTGTTCGTTGCCGTCATCCGCCCAAAGAGTCAAGCCAGCCTGAACTAAAAGGAGTACAGAACCAAAGCCTACGAGGTAGGCGCAGATTATCTAGAATTACCAGTATTATAAGTAATGACCTACCAACCAACAAACATCAACACAATCTTTTTTTCTAAACCCAATAATAACTCAGTTTCCACATTGCATCTGGGTTTAGATCGTGCTGATCGAAGTGCCTTTGGAGGGCAAGGAGAAGAAAAGAAAGAAGGTCCTCCTGGCCACAAAGATCACTGCAGCAGGAGACAAATCCAAATCCATACTGGATTATGTTGACAAAACCATCAGACCGATATCCAACAACCAAGGCTTCATAGGTGAGTGGGGTGTGCGTTTGACATTACGACGAGCACGCGGTGGCTTGTGACTGTTTAGAGTAAAGGAAAAGCCGAGTCACTGATGTAAACGCCATTTGGGGTTTCAGGAAAGCGTGTGGTGCATATGAAGAAATTCCCTCTTGATGGCAAAAATGAAGGAGAGGAGGCGTCGCTTTTTGTTGTGCCAGTCAGCGCTAAAGGTGAGCAAAGGTCCGTGCCACTAAATCGATGCCTCACATATAGTTTGCGTACTGTGTATTAACAAATCCCTCCCAACAGACAACAGCAAGCCAGTTTACAGCGCCGGGTGCCCGAGCTTCTACTGCTTCCAGGACATCATGCGGGTGTGCAGCGAGACCAGCGCTCACTTCTGCCCCATCACCTCCAAGATGCTCCTGGTTTTAGACAAGTGAGGATGCGTTCGAAAAACACGGCGTTCTCGGACGAGGCCTTCGGGGGAACACCGAGCCTTCAGACCGGCCCCCGTCGAGCGGGTGAAGACTAAGGTCAGCAACCCGGCCTACAGCAGCGAGGGCAAGCAGAGCAAGGACGGGCTGCACATGGGCTACACTGCTCTGGAGGTCAAGAGCAAGATGATGTCGCTGGAGAAGGCGGACATGTGCGTCCTCAACCCGCTTTATGGTTCTGATCTGCAGTACACCAACCGGGTGAGTCGGCGTCCTTCAGGAGCAGATGATCCTTGAAGAAAGGGGATTGTGAGTGCACATGTTTGAGGTTGTGAGAATGGTATAAAGTGCCATTTGTAATGTCCTGCACGTTTGGTGTTTTGTTCGCAGGTGGATAAAGTTGTTATTAACCCGTATTTTGGCCTCGGGGCGCCCGACTACTCCAAGATCCAGATCCCCAAGAGGGAGAAGTGGCAACACGGTCCTAACAGTGTGGCAGAAGACAAGTGAGGGCTTATTCTTTCACCCTGGCTGTTGTTCCTGTCGTCTCCTGCTCCTCTTAACGTCCTGTTTCAGTGGGTCACAGGTTTGCTCGTGACCTTTACAACCCTTTTAAGACGCAGTCATAAAAAAAAGAAAAAAAAAAAAGAAATTACTTTAGAAATTAAATGACAAAAATTCTGTGCAGGGAGCGTCAGTGGGTGGACGACTTCCCCCTCCACCGCAGCTCCTGTGAAGGAGACACCGAGCTGCTGTCTAAGCTCCTGGACAGCGGTTTATCAGTGAAGCAGCTGGACAGCGACCACTGGGCTCCCATCCACTACGCCTGCTGGTGAGTCCCGCTCTCAACTCCCAGCACGAGACAGTCTGAGGCATCCGATTCGGCTTTGGATTCTGGTCCGTTCATATTGATGGTGACTCTCGGTAAAGTTGAGTTTGGTTCCACCCAGGCACGGAAAAGTCGAGGCAACCAAACTGTTACTTGAGAAAGGTAACTGTAATCCCAACCTGCTGAACGGCCAGCTCAGCTCCCCTCTGCACTTTGCAGCCAGAGGAGGCCACGTCGAGATTGTGCAACTCTTGCTGCAGCACCCCGAGATTGACCGGGTACGAAACATGCAAATGATGTCTGTTTGTAATAGCGGTAAAGCATCAACAACTCAGTAAAGAATAAAAAGAATCATATAATGTTGTATCTAGAAAAACACTGATTGTGTTCCTTAACTACGTTTTTAATTTGATTTGCTTGGCTGTATCTCAGTGATAACATAAGTATTATAATAAATAGTGGCCATTCATTCCACGTTTATGTTTTAACAAATTGAATATTTATTATTCATTACACTAGATACATTGCCAATTAGATTTATCTATTAACTGCAATATGTTGTTAATTTAGACCAAGCATCTCTGTACTATGTACTTTGCTAATTTGCATCTCCAGCATATTGAGGACCAGCAGAAGAGGTCCCCCCTTCAGCTGTGCGAGGAGAACAAACAGAACGAATGGGAGGAGACGGTGAAACTTCTGCAGAAATGCAGCAACAAACCCGTGAGTCGCACCTCAGACTCCTTTAAGTACTATATTTGTATTGTAGGGAAACACCTAAACGCTGCGCTGCAGCATTCACTTTGGCCTCATGCTCCTCCCATCTTGCTTTGGTCAGTCAGTTTGTAACGTTATGACAAACATTGTGTTTACGTGTTAATGTTTCTCACTGTTTTCGCCATAACGAGAGCCTTTTGTGGTAAGACACTTATGAAGTCCGTTCTTTCTTTATCCAAACACTCGCATGTTTTGTTTTGTTTGTCAACACAAGTAAGCTGTCTTACTTTTTTTGTGCGTTCCGCAGTATGAGAAGGTGCGTATCTACCGCATGGACGGCTCGTATCGCTCCGTGGAGCTGAAGCACGGCAACAACACGACGGTGCAGCAGATCATGGAAGGCATGCGTCTTTCACAGGACACCCAGCAGTACTTTACCATCTGGATCTGCTCAGAGAACCTCCGTGAGTCCCCTCAGAAGACATGTGACATGTGTTCATCCTCTGGCTGTTAAGCTTGTCTTTGCTTTTGTTTTGTTTTTCATATCAGATTAGTTTGATCGGATCTTGTATGAGTATTTTTAGTCTTCAAGAAGGCAAAACCTTTTGTATCTTTTAATCTTAACAACAAGCCTTTTGTAAGGTATCATTGGTGTGCTTTTCGTGTGTCAGACCTGCAGCTGAAGCCGTACCACAAGCCCCTGCAGCACCTGCGGATCTGGACAGAGATTGTGACGGACCTGACGCTGCTGGATCCTCAAAGGGAAACTTCTCAACTCTTCCTCCGCCGGGACGTCTGGCTGCCTCTCGACGTTGAGAAAAAGGTAGCAAAATTTGTATTGCACAAGAATCTCCTTGACTAAAGTTTTGGAATGTGTCAATTAGTTGCGGCTCACTGTTCATTTCCAGGTGGAGGACCCTCTCGCCATCCTCATTCTGTTCGACGAGGCCCGTCACTGCCTCCTGAAGGGCTTCTTTCCTGCTCCGGACACCAAGCTGATCACTCTGGCCAGCCTCCTCCTGCAGATCATATACGGCAGCTACGAGAGCAAGAAGCACAAGCAAGGGTTCCTCAAGTAAATCACTGTTTTTAACTCTCATTTAAACCCAACATTGCATTGACCTCTTACATGTCAACATGAACCATTTCCTTCATTGTTGCGAAGTAAAAAAAAGCTGCTGTGTTTTGTTTTCAACAGCGAGGAAAACCTGAAGTCAATTGTGCCGATTTCCAAAGTGAAAAGTAAAGCTTACCACTGGACCAACAGGATTCTGCATGAATACAAAGTACGCCTGACGTATTCATTGTAAAAGATCCTTTTAGACATCAAATGAAAACCCACTGCTGGCATCACGGAAAGGCTGCTCTTCTCCCTCTCCGACAGGCCCTGAGCACCAGCGAGGGGGTGAGTAAAGAGATGCACCACCTGCAGCGACTCTTCCTGCAGAACTGCTGGGACATCCCGACCTACGGCGCGGCCTTCTTCACGGGTCAGGTCTACACCAAGGCCAGCGCCAGCAACCATAAGGTCATCCGCGTCTACGTCGGGGTCAACACAAAGGGGCTGCACCTTATGAACATGGAGACCAAGGTATCCTCACTTTCATCAAGGTTTTACAACACAGCAACAGATTTCCTAATTTATTCAAATGAATGTAGGAATTAAAGACCTGCAATTAGGTGGCACAAGCTGAACATATTTTAAATTCTAGTGAAGATGTCAACGTTTTCTTCACCACATATGTTAGGCGGAATATTGGGGGAATATACGGAAAATTATCACATATACATCTACATGTTTTTCACATCTTTTATCCAATTTTTGAAGTCTAATTTAAGCGGCCATTTATTATGATACTATTTAAACATCATATATCCTAAATGGAGAGCTCAGATGAGCTCATACTGAATATAAATGTCACAATAAGTTTTCAGGTGTTATATCTCCGTTAACTACTGGTTGGCTGCAACTTGGGCATACAAACTTATGTATATTAAAAAGATAATGCAAAGTGTTTTTTGTCTATTTTGTCAGGTCCCTCTGATCAGTTTAGAATACGGCACGTTCATGTGGCAGCTCGGGCACGCCGACCAGTACTTCCAGATACACAGTGGTGACAACAAAATGAACTTCATTGTGCACACAAAGCAGGTAACTCTTCTAAGACGTTGCTATTGTAATGTATACAAATAATGACTGTATCCAGAGTGCATTTGGAGAGCAGGATATTATGATGACAGCTCCAGTTCAAAATGTGTTGAAATGATGTTATGTCATAAACGCTGTCTCACTTGTGTTCATTATTTCCTTACAGGCGGGCCTTATTGTGAAGCTCTTGATGAAGCTGAGTGGACAGATGACACCAAATGATAAAAGCATAATGGACAAATATGCTTATGGCTGAAAACCTGCTGCAGTGGATCCCGTGGAGGCTCCTCCTACTGACCCACCTGACTGCAGGACTCAAGACAAAGAGCAAAGTCACCTCACAAGTGCCTTATTTTGTATATTCGGCTTACTGATATCTTTTGCAACCTCACATTGTGTATTTTGACAGGTCATATATTTTGAGTGCATGTAAATATGTTTATTTAATGTTGCTTTAATAAACATGTATAAATAAGGGTGTATTGGGAGTTTGTCTTGCAAAGCCTGAACTACATTGTGTTTAATTTATATAATGAATCAACTGAGGTGATTTCTTAACTTAAATGATTCATTCTAGGGGATTGTAGCAAAAGGCAAAATTATAAAATTACCTTTTAAAATAATTTCCACTGATACAGAGAATGCATCCATGACATAAACTGGTTATTAATAGAATAAAACTATATATTATGTTATGTATTACAAATGTAATTGAAATCAGGTGATATTTCAGTATCAACATACATCACAATACTATATTTATGGCCTTGTAGCAATGCGATAAAAAATATTGTGTCTTCACAGTTGGTGCGGGTGTATTGTCAGGACGTTGTCTTTTAAAAATTTGGACACTGAAAAGCAGTAGAGCCTGCAGAGACCAGCAGGTTGTCTGCAGCAGACACGCAGCGGCTCTTTGCAGTTCACTTTGGCTGCAGGGTAAAGCGTGCTCATGTTAAATGACTGCTGGATAATGTTAAAACTAAACGGTTTTTCCCTTCCTTGAAGTTATTTATTGCTTAACCTGCAGGAGAAGCACCACTCTCCTATTTCAATGCAAATTGTCTACTTGACTTATAACTTAACCGCCATTCATCCAAAACATTCTGTACGTCACCACGTTGTGTTGTCGATTTTACGTTGATGTGTTTTTGTTTCTACATACATTTCCCCCGTTGCAAGACTTGATATAAACTGCCTGTAACCACCAACATTTGTAACAATCACAGAGCATTTCTTGAACTGCTCAAATGCAACACTATTATGTTAATTGAATAACAATTCATTATATTATAAGTCATATTTTGTTGGTTAAATCACAATCTGCAATGTAGCCAGTGACATTCCTCTGTCAGCTAAATGTCATATCATATAATAGTCTATGGCGGTTCAGGGCCCTTTTAGATGGGGCTCCCGTGCCAGGTATCTTGACTTATGGCAACATTCATGTTATTTTCTGGTGAAGCAGAATATAAAACAGGTGTTTTTCACAGGTGTCTGAATGTAACATGTGCACACAATGCTTATGTGGTGTGGCTCATAATGACTATTATGTTAGCATGCATATTAAAGTACAATGGATCATCCATGTCATCGAATCAAATACATTTAGACTAATTAATTTCACTCAGATAATTTTTTCATATCGCTTTTTTAAAAGTTTGGTCTCTGTCTGGCAAAAACTAAAGGGGAAAAAGTAAGATTTTACTACAGCACGCAGCAACATGTTCTAAAGCAAAATAAGAAAAACATGTCAAAATCAAAATGTTTAAATACAAATCTATGTACAGATATTTCCATGGTGAGAGAAACCACAGTGCACATGTTCCAGGGATGGAGTATTTGGGTCAATGGGGCACTCTGACTGGGTTCATGAGACCAACTGATGACGGGAAGAAACAGTTTCTATGGTGAGAGGTCTTGTTCCTGATGGACCTCCGGCTAGATGGAAAGGGCTCAGTTTGTGTTCGGCTACTTTGTCTTACTATGAAGACACAGCCACTGTGGTGCCAGAGTTATTTGTCCTGCAAGACAACATTGAGAAGGATGATGGATACAAAACACAAATATGAGGAAGTTGTATTGCAGATTCATTCTTGTCTCTGTTCTCAGGAACTAGTTTGAGAGTCATGTAAATGCTGCACTGCTGAATCACAGATTCATTCTTGTCTCTGTTCTCAGGAATTAGTTTGAGAGTCATGTAAATGCTGCACTGCTGCATCACAGATACATTCTTGTCTCTGTTCTCAGGAACTAGCTTGAGAGTTATGTAAATGCTGCACTGCTGAATCACAGATACATTCTTGTCTCTGTTCTCAGGAACTAGCTTGAGAGTTATGTAAATGCTGCACTGCTGCATCACAGATTCTTGTCTCCGTGTGTAACGTTATGACAAACATTGTGTTTATGTCTTTAAAGTTCTACACTGTTTTCTCCATAACGAGAGCCTTTTGTGGTAAGACACTTGTAAAGTTTTTTCTTTCTTTATCCAAACACATTCACATATTCTCAAGTACGCCTCACTTTTCCATGTTATACTATGTGCTTGAGGGACATTAAAGAAATTAGTTTTCGTGACATATTTCAGTGGCATTCTGCTGATCTCACTAGATGGTGCTGCCCATTTTAAATAAAAAGTCATTTTGTTTGTCAACACAAGTAAGCTGTCTTACTTGTTGTTGTTTTTTTGTGCGTTCCGCAGTATGAGAAGGTGCGTATCTACCGCATGGACGGCTCGTATTGCTCCGTGGAGCTGAAGCACGTCAACAACACGACGGTGCAGCAGATCATGGAAGGCATGAGTCTTTCACGGGACACCCAGCAGTACTTTACCATCTGGATCTGCTCAGAGAACCTCCGTGAGTCCCCTCAGAAGACATGTGACATGTGTTCATTCTCTGGCTGTCAAACCAAAAGCACAGACAAGCTTTTTTCATATCAGATTAGTTTGATTGGATCGTGTAGAATTATTTTTAGTCTTCAGACTCTAAGAATTTACATTCAACTTGTATTTCTAATCCTCGGCAAAAAACACCTAAACCATCAGCTTGGCCTCATAATAACTAATATAAATGACAAAATATATCTTCTGTGATTTGGGTGAACTGAGCTAAACAAGTGTGACGTGTCTTTCTCATTGACAATGGCAGGAATCTGGTCGCCTATTCTAATTATGAAGGTATGGGGAACGGGGAGTAAAACAACGCAATAAAGACCTTGTCTGTGGGTGGAGCTGAAGGAGCTTCCTTCATCCAATCAGTGGGTCATTCAGGTGTCTACTACCTCATTTGGCAGGAAGGGGGATGTCCTCATCGACAGGGAGATAAATGGGGGAAAGGAAAGCCAGTCGACTTCAGTAGATTCCAACCGTCTTATCTCTGGTGAGTAAACATCTTTTGTATCACTGCTTTTTAATCTATGATGTTATAAAATCTGTGTGATAACTGAGTCAGCAATAACTGACTAATGGAATGAACGTGAGAGATGATAATTGTCGAAGTGGTGTCCAATAGCCATTGGAAGCTAAGTTAGTTGAAAGATGATACAAAAGTCCCGACAGGTTACTATTTGTTTATTTCCGGTCCTTCTTCTCAGAATCCAAATTTTGAAGCCACATATTTAAAACAGAAGAATTTTGTCTTGATGATTGGATAAGGATAAAATAAGGTAATGTAAAATAAGGTAAAAATATACACGCAAAATGAAAACAATATAAACAGATAAGTATGTTTAAATACAAATCTATGTACAGATATTTCCATGGTGAGAGAAACCACAGTGCAAATGTTCCAGGGATGGAGTATTTGGGTCAATGGGGCACTCTGACTGGGTTCATGAGACCAACTGATGACGGGAAGAAACAGTTTCTATGGTGAGAGGTCTTGGTCCTGATGGACCTCCGGCTAGATGGAAAGGGCTCAAAAAGTTTGTGTTCGGCTACTTTGTCTTACTATGAAGACACAGCCACTGTGGTGCCAGAGTTATTTGTCCTGCAAGACAACATTGAGAAGGATGATGGATACAAAACACAAATATGCTATATGAATAAATAACAAAATTGTTGTTTGCTTTAAGTTTCCTCCTTAAGATGGAGCTTTGTTTATCCTTGCAGACAACATGAGCGAGCATGTGACCTGTTACCAGTAGGATTCTGCCTACAACATGGCTTTTGTGTAGCAGCTGGTGAAATGTGGACCAGCAACCTGAGAGTTCGCCATGAGCAATGATTTAGTTAAAGCTTTTAGATTGTGGTTAGAAGCTACCGTGCATCTTAAAGACATACTATATATAGTTTAAACATCTTTTATTTTTTTCCCAGCCTCCTGACTTACTTATCGCAGTGATGGCTGATGCAGAAAATATTAAGGACACTGCAGTCATGGTGCTGCACTGCCTGGAAAAGGTGTCTTCCTTCGCCTCCTCCATCCACCCCATCTTTGGGATAGTCTCCTCCCTGGTAGGTGTGGCTCGCAAAGGCCTTATCAAGGAGGAGGGCCACGCTCTGGACAAGGAGTTCCAGCCGCTCCACTCCGAACTGGAGACCATCTCCAAAAAGAATAGCGAATGTCTGATGCAGATCCGCCTCAACGAAGTGAACGAAACCTATGGCAAGTACGAGGAGCTCATTAAGCAACAGTACACTGCCTTCAATGACATGGTGGCAAAGGTGAAAAAAGATCCAGACAACACACAGCGCCACATGGCGGCCTTCGAGGAGACTTATGAGAGAGACAAGAGCGACATGAGCCTGGATGTGTACTACAGCGGGGTGATGGGTACCAAGCTGCTGTTTGGAAAACCCTTGCTGAAGGTCTACCTTGACAGCTGCGACGGCGACCGGGAGATCATGGAGCGCCGCTGTTCACACATCACCCACCTGTTCCACATGGGCCTCATCGCCCTCATGGCCTACACAGCTGTGACCGAGGATAACGAAAATCCGGTGCGGGAGAAGTGGGCCAAGCGGTTCGAGGAGATCCAGGAGAAGATGGAGGCGGTGCTCAGTCAGTGCAAAGACAACTCATCCTGAACATGGGCATCATAGAGCGCAATGTCTACTCTTAGCTGTGGACCAAAAAGATAAAAGATGTTATGATATATACCTTTAATAAAACAGCCATGCTTTAATTCTCATTTGGGTTTTTGTATAAACATTGTATAACATTTGTTTCAAAGGGACCATGGTACGTTTCAGTTGATTATGTGCTGAAGTTTTGTACAATCGCTTGAATTAAAACTATTAGTCGATAATGTTGTACATTTGTAAAATCCATTTCATTCACAATAAAACCAACAATCTGTATTTTCAAACCCATCGGCAGCAGTAACCGATGTATTAAGGCTGTGGAGCCTTGTAGCTTTGAATTCAACCTGGATTAACATTTTGTATCCATATTACGCAGACACAACTTCTCCTCTATAAACTCGTAAAACTATTTCATTCCTAACCTTTAAATTACACCTGGTAGAAAGAGTCCCGCCAACAGGTAACAATATTTAATGAAATTCCATAGCAGGTTGGGAAATGAAGATTAGCATGATGAATACAACTGGAGAAAACCGCTTGCCTGGCTCTGTGCGATGGAACAAAACGCGCTATGTAGCGTAGGGCTGCATCTTTAAAACGAAGGACAGGTTGGGCGCCAGACAGGCAAGTAACCCACGTTATTCCCAGTCATATTTTTAATGTTATCTTCCGAACAATACGCAATAATGTACCCGACCAGCTGGGTACCCCTGCCGCAAATGTGTAAATTAAATCAAATACCAAATCAGGAAGCCCATCTACCTCAGAGAAAACAGCTGTATTCAAACATATAATCCCAATCAAAACTTTAAAAAAAGGTACAGCAGTTCAATATAAACATGTTTAAGCACACCAAATAATAAAGTGGAAAGTCCTTTGATGAAAGTCTCAGTTACGGAGTCCAGATAATGTCACTTTTGTGTTAAAAGTAGAGGCCGGTGTGTGTTGGGTCAGCCTGATCTCCAACACCTGTTCGTAAAAATGTATACGAAAATCTTGAAGATACAAATTAGTGATACATACTAAATAAATACGGACTGGCAACTGATGACGTCACCGTATTCAAAGTGAATGGGGACCTGCATCTGTAAACACACTTGTGAAGTCTAACGATGTAAAATAAACGTGTTATGATTTGTATTTTTAACGAGAAATCAATGTTAAATTGTAAGAATACAATACTAACCCTAACCCCCTCAAAAAAATCCAACATGGCGGAGAGACGTTCACTCAAGAATCCAACATGGTCCGCCATGTTGTTCACTCAAGGGGCGTGGTTAACCACCGCCAGTTAGTATGTGTTGTTACGAATTTCTATGTCAAATATTTTGTATACATTTTTACGAACAGCTTTTGGAGATCACGTTGGTTGCGTTGCGTGTGGGGTGGTGAGTGTGAGTTGGATAATCCGGAGAAGTGTTTCTGCGGGGATTTATCTTTCCTATAGTCCAGGGCGGTCCAGAAGGTATCTCTGGCCGATTCTCTCTCTGGCAGTGTCGAGCAGGTGTTTTTGGGGTATTCCTCTCGTAGGACACCACAGGTCCAGCAACCAGCGATCTCCTGTTTTGTTTGTCCCTTCGTCTCTCACTCAGTTGTCTCTGTCAGTTGATTGTTTTTTTTGTTTTTTCAACTGCAGGTGTGTCCAATCTTCTAGCCTTCCTTGCCCCGCCTTCTTTATATTGGCCAGGTGGGAAAAAACAAGTCTGCAGGACAGTAAATATGCAGAGCACGTGCAGCTGTTTGCTGATGGATCTAAAGACCCAGATACGGTGGGAGCCAGAAGATAATGATCTTCTCCAATCTCCTCGAACCCCCTACCCCTCCTCCCCCCTCCACCCTTCTTCCGGGAGACTTTGTCAACTACTTCACCAAGAAAATAGCTGACATACGCTCCTCCTTCTCAAACCCACCACCTACTTCTCGCGTCCCACCGACCTCACCTCTTTCGCCCTCACTTCCCTCTTTCACCGCCCTCTCTCCTAACCAAATTCTTACCCTAGTAACCTCTGCCCGTCCGACCACCTGCCCTCTTGACCCCATTCCATCACATCTTCTACAATCTATCGCACCTGACCTTCTTCCGTTCCTTACCTTTCTCATCAACAACGCTCTGTCATCTGGCTGTTTTCCCAATTCTCTGAAGGAGGCAAGAGTCAACCCTCTCCTGAAGAAACCCACCCTCAACCCTTCTGAAGAAAACAACTACAGACCGGTCTCTCTTCTTCCCTTCTTGTCCAAAACCCTTGAACGTGCTATCTTTAATCAACTCTCCTCTTATCTCCACTGTAACAACCTCCTTGACCCCCACCAGTCAGGTTTCAAGGCAGGCCACTCTACAGAGACTGCTCTCCTTGCTGTCTCTGAGCAACTCCACACTGCTAGAGCCGCCTCTCTCTCCTCTGTCCTCATCCTTCTGGACCTCTCTGCTGCATTTGACACGGTCAACCACCAGATCCTTATTTCCTCCCTTCAGGAACTTGGTGTCACAGGCTCTGCTCTCTCCCTTCTCTCGTCCTACCTCGATGGCCGCACCTACCGGGTAACCTGGCGAGGATCTGTGTCGGAACCGTGTCCTCTTACTACTGGAGTTCCTCAGGGTTCCGTGCTGGGTCCCCTCCTGTTTTCGCTTTACACCAACTCTCTTGGCGCTGTCATTCGCTCGCATGGCTTCTCTTACCACAGCTATGCCGATGACACTCAACTAATTCTCTCCTTCCCTCACTCGGACACCCAGGTGGCGGCTCGGATCTCTGCCTGTCTAACTGACATCTCTCAGTGGATGTCCGCCCACCATCTGAAAATCAACCCCGACAAGACTGAACTACTTCTCTTTCCCGGAAAAGACTCGCTTACCCAGGACCTGACAGTCAACTTTGGAAACTCTGTGCTAACGCCCACTTCGACTGCTAAGAACCTCGGCGTCACACTCGACAACCAACTCTCCCTGACTCCCAACATCACTGCGACAACGCGATCCTGTAGATACACGCTCTACAACATCAGGAGAATACGTCCCCTTCTCACTCAGAAGGCAGCGCAGGTACTGATTCAGGCTCTTGTCATCTCCCGCCTGGACTACTGCAACTCCCTCCTGGCTGGTCTCCCTGCCACCGCCATTCGACCTCTGCAGCTCATTCAGAATGCAGCAGCTCGACTGGTCTTCAACCTTCCGAAATTCTCCCACACTACTCCACTCCTCCGCTCTCTTCACTGGCTACCGGTGGCCGCCCGCATCCAGTTCAAAACACTGGTGCTCACGTACCATGCTGTGAATGGATCGGGTCCAGCTTACATCCAGGACATGGTCAAACCCTACATCCCAACCCGCACTCTCCGCTCTGCATCTGCAAAACTACTCGTCCCTCCCTCACTGAGAGCAAAACACTCGACTAGATCTCGACTCTTCGCTGTCCTTGCGCCGAAATGGTGGAACGCGCTCTCTGAAGACATCAGGACCGCAGAGAGCCTTCACATCTTCCGCCGCAAACTAAAGACACACCTCTTCAGACTCTACCTCGACTAAAGACTAACAAATTGTAGCACTTAAATTGTACTTGTGACGTCACTCATCCATAGCAAATTGTAAATTCGCTTATTTGAGGAAATTGCACTTTCTTGTTTCTTGTTCTCCTGAGTTTGTACCCTATGGTTGAATGCACTTATTGTACGTCGCTTTGGATAAAAGCGTCAGCTAAATGACATGTAATGTAATGTAATGTAATGTAATGTAATAATGCAACAAAAAAGGATGCAAGCTGCCGTTAAACACCACAGAAGAAGAAGAAGACATCTGCAGACTTTGGTCTGCTACAGCTACCAACACCTCTCAGACTCACCAATTAAAAGGTTGTATGCAATTGATTTAATCTTTGGAAAACGAAATTTAAAAGGAGGATTCCCTTGTTTATCAGGGCGTTATGTTTTGCACTATTCTTTGACAGGGATTATGGGAGTCGCTCCTGCGAGTCGAGAAGATCCCAAACATGAAAACAAACGAATTAAAGTTTTTCTTTAACTTAAGTTACTGTATAACTTTCTAATATAATAGCTCATATGCAGTTATTGTAACCAGTGGACAGAGCAAAGCTTTCCACTTCATTCAGTCTTTGTCCTAAAGCAAGTAAGTGTCGTTTAAGATTTAAATTAGTGATGACAATGAACAGGGAAACAATTGTTGTCAACAATAGCGTAAAATTGAATATTATTACAGTTATGTACTATATATTCCTAAATTTGATTTGACCAAAACGCATTTCATTTCATTTCACTACATTTCAGTACTAAAAACCGTCATTGAAAACCTTTAACAACGACGCTGCCGCACTAAGTCCTCTGTTGTCCGCCCCCCCCGCCAGGTTCCAGGCCCGACACGCGACACTCCCACCGGACACACGTATCTATGACCTATGACCTATGATCTATCTATGACGTATCTATAAAAGTTGCTATAAACCTCTGTAGTGGTTTATCTTAAACGCAGTCAGAAGGGATCACGGGTGCCTTTACTGTAACATTTAAAGTATCACGGTTATTTTTTAGTAATTTTTTAATTCAACGGTTTAGTTTCTGAAATGTCGAGACGGAGGAAAGCAGCAAATAACTTCACTCGAGAAAAAAAAATGATGGAATGCTTTGCATTTTTGCTTGAAATATGACTTACACATGAAATGCATTAGCAAAATACTTGTTAATGAATTTTATATTGGAAGATGAAAATATGAATCTAACTGTAATCAGCCTAAATAGTGTATCAAGCATCAAATAACATTCCCAAAGGGTCATCACGTTTCTGGTATTTAGTTATTGAGGGTTCCTACTACTGATGCAAACAAGCGTGGCGGCAGTCTTCTAAGTACGACCAGTACTTCCAGATACACAGTGGTGACAACAAAATGAACTTCATTGTGCACACAAAGCAGGTAACTCTTCTAAGACGTTGCTATTGTAATGTATACAAATAATGACTGTATCCCGAGTGCATTTGGAGAGCAGGATATTGTGATGACAGCTCCAGTTCAAAATGTGTTGAAATGATGTTATGTCATAAACGCTGTCTCACTTGTGTTCATTATTTCCTTACAGGCGGGCCTTATTGTGAAGCTCTTGATGAAGCTCAGTGGACGGATGACACCAAATGATAAAAGCATAATGGACAAATGCATCCATGACATAAACTGGTTATTAATAGAATAAAACTATATATAATGTTATGTATTACAAATGTAATTGAAATCAGGTGATATTTCAGTATCAACATACATCACAATACTATATTTATGGCCTTGTAGCAATGCGATAAAAAATATTGTGTCTTCACAGTTGGTGCGGGTGTATTGTCAGGATGTTGTCTTTTAAAGAAAGATTTGGACACTGAAAAGCAGTAGAGCCTGCAGAGAGACCAGCAGGTTGTCTGCAGCAGACACGCAGCGGCTCTTTGCAGTTCACTTTGGCTGCAGGGTAAAGCGTGCTCATGTTAAATGACTGCTGGATAATGTTAAAACTAAACGGTTTTTCCCTTCCTTGAAGTTATCTATTGGATAACCTGCAGGAGAAGCACCACTCTCCCATTTCAATGCAAATTGTCTACTTGACTTATAACTTAACCGCCATTCATCCAAAACATTCTGTACGTCACCACGTTGTTAAGTGTTGTCGATTTTACGTTGATGTGTTTTTGTTTCTACATACATTTCCCCCGTTGCAAGACTTGATATAAACTGCCTGTAACCACCAACATTTCTAACAATCACAGAGAATTTCTTGAACTGCTCAAATGCAACACTATTATGTTAATTGAATAACAATTCATTATATTATAAGTTATATTTTGTTGGTTAAATCACAATCTGCAATGTAGCCAGTGACATTCCTCTGTCAGCTAAATGTCATATCATATAATAGTCTATGGCGGTTCAGGGCCCTTTTAGATGGGGCTCCCGTGCCAGGTATCTTGACTTATGGCAACATTCATGTTATTTTCTGGTGAAGCAGAATATACAACAGGTGTTTTTCACAGGTGTCTGAATGTAACATGTACACACAATGCTTATGTGGTGTGGCTCATAATGACTATTATGTTAGCATGCATATTAAAGTACAATGGATCGCCCATGTCATCGAATCAAATACATTAAGACTAATTAATTTCACTCAGATCATTTTTCATATCGCTTTTTTAAAAGTTTGGTCTCTGTCTGGCAAAAACTAAAGGGGAAAAAGTAAGATTTTACTACAGCACGGAGCAACATGTTCTAAAGCAAAATAAGAAAAACATGTCAAAATCAAAATGTTTAAATACAAATCTATGTACAGATATTTCCATGGTGAGAGAAACCCCAGTGCAAATGTTCCAGGGATGGAGTATTTGGGTCAATGGGGCACTCTGACTGGGTTCATGAGACCAACTGATGACGGGAAGAAACAGTTTCTATGGTGAGAGGTCTTGTTCCTGATGGACCTCCGGCTAGATGGAAAGGGCTCAGTTTGTGTTCGGCTACTTTGTCTTACTACGAAGACACAGCCACTGTGGTGCCAGAGTTATTTGTCCTGCAAGACAACATTGAGAAGGATAATCGATGTAAACAAATCTATGAGGAAGTTGCATCGCAGGTACATTTTTCTCTCTGTTCTCAGGAACTAGTTTGAGAGTTATGTAAATGCTTGCACTGCTGAATCACAGATACATTCTTGTCTCTGTTCTCAGGAACTAGCTTGAGAGTTATGTAAATGCTGCACTGCTGAATCACAGACTCTTGTCTCCGTGTGTAACGTTATGACAAACATTGTGTTTATGTCTTTAAAGTTCTACACTGTTTTCTCCATAACGAGAGCCTTTTGTGGTAAGACACTTGTAAAGTTTTTTCTTTCTTTATCCAAACACATTCACATATTCTCAAGTACGCCTCACTTTTCCATGTTATACTATGTGCTTGAGGGACATTAAAGAAATTAGTTTTTGTGACATATTTCAGTGGCATTCTGCTGATCTCACCAGATGGTGCTGCCTATTTTAAATAAAAAGTTATTTTGTTTGTCAACACAAGTAAGCTGTCTTACTTGTTGTTGTTTTTTTGTGCGTTACGCAGTATGAGAAGGTGCGTATCTACCGCATGGACGGCTCGTATTGCTCCGTGGAGCTGAAGCGCGGCAACAACACGACGGTGCAGCAGATCATGGAAGGCATGCGTCTTTCACAGGACACCCAGCAGTACTTTACCATCTGGATCTGCTCAGAGAACCTCCGTGAGTCCCCTCAGAAGACATGTGACATGTGTTCATTCTCTGGCTGTCAAACCAAAAGCACGGACAAGCTTTTTTCATATCAGATTAGTTTGATTGGATCGTGTAGAATTATTTTTAGTCTTCAGATTCTAAGAATTTACATTCAACTTGTATTTCTAATCCTCGGCAAAAAACACCCAAACCATCAGCTTGGCCTCATAATAACTAATATAAATGACAAAATATATCTTCTGTGATTTGGGTGAACTGAGCCAAACAAGTGTGACGTGTCTTTCTCATTGACAATGGCAGGAATCTGGTCGCCTATTCTAATTATGAAGGTATGGGGAACGAGGAGTAAAACAACGCAATAAAGACCTTGTCTGTGGGTGGAGCTGAAGGAGCTTCCTTCATCCAATCAGTGGGTCATTCAGGTGTCTACTACCTCATTTGGCAGGAAGGGGGATGTCCTCCTCGACAGGGAGATAAATGGGGGAAAGGAAAGCCAGTCGACTTCAGTAGATTCCAACCGTTTTATCTCTGGTGAGTAAACATCTTTTGTATCACTGCTTTTTAATCTATGATGTTATAAAATCTGTGTGATAACTGAGTCAGCAATAACTGACTAATGGAATGAACGTGAGAGATGATAATTGTCGAAGTGGTGTCCAATAGCCATTGGAAGCTAATGTTAGTTGAAAGATGATACAAAAGTCACGATAGGTTACTATTTGTTTATTTCCGGTCCTTCTTGTCAGAATCAAAATTAGAAGCCACATATTTAAAACAGAAGAATTTTGTCTTGATGATTGGATAAGGATAAAATAAGGTAATGTAAAATAAGGTAAAAATATGCACGCAAAATGAAAATAAATAAAAACAGATAAGTATGTTTAAATACAAATCTATGTACAGATATTTCCATGGTGAGAGAAACCACAGTGCAAATGTTCCAGGGATGGAGTATTTGGGTCAATGGGGCACTCTGACTGGGTTCATGAGACCAACTGATGACGGGAAGAAACTGTTTCTATGGTGAGAGGTCTTGGTCCTGATGGACCTCCGGCTAGATGGAAAGGGCTCAAAAAGTTTGTGTTCGGCTACTTTGTCTTACTATGAAGACACAGCCACTGTGGTGCCAGAGTTATTTGTCCTGCAAGACAACATTGAGAAGGATGATGGATACAAAACACAAATATGCTATATGAATAAATAACAAAATTGTTGTTTGCTTTAAGTTTCCTCCTTAAGATGGAGCTTTGTTTATCCTTGCAGACAACATGAGCGAGCATGTGACCTGTTACCAGTAACATTAGAATGTAAGAGTACACTGCCTACAACATGGCGTTTGTGCAGCAGCTGGTGAAATGTGGACCAGCAACCTGAGAGTTCGCCATGAGCTTAGTTTTTAGGGCATAGACCCTCTGTGACCAATGATTTAGTTAAAGCTTTTAGATTGTGGTTAGAAGATACCGGGCATCTTAAAGACATACTGTATATAGTTTAAACATCTTTTATTTTTTTCCCAGCCTCCTGACTTACTTTTCGCAGTGATGGCTGATGCAGAAAATATTAAGGACACTGCAGTCAAGGTGCTGCACTGCCTGGAAAAGGTGTCTTCCTTCGCCTCCTCCATCCACCCCATCTTTGGGATAATCTCCTCCCTGGTAGGTGTGGCTCGCAAAGGCCTTATCAAGGAGGAGGGCCACGCTCTGGACAAGGAGTTCCAGCCGCTCCACTCCGAACTGGAGACCATCTCCAAAAAGAATAGTGAATGTCTGATGCAGATCCACCTCAACGAAGTGAACGAAACCTATGGCAAGCTCGATGTTAACATTAGGCGCCAGTACGAAGCCTTCAATGACATGGTGAAAAACGTGAAAGAAGATCCGAGCAACACCCAGCTCCACATGGCGGCCTTCAAGAAGACTTATTGGAAAGAGAAGGACGACATGAGCCTGGATGTGTACTACAAAGGGATAATGGGCAAAGAGCTGCTGTTTGCAAAACCCTTGCTGAACGCCTACTTTGACAGCTGCAATGGCGACCGGAAGACCATGGAGTACCACTGTTCACACATCATCCACCTGTTCCACATGGGCCTCATCGCCCTCATGGGCTACACAGCTGTGGCCAAAGATGACAAAGATGAGATGCAGAAGAAGTGGGCCAAGAGGGTAGTTGAGATCCAGGAGAAGATGGAGGCGGTGCTCAGTCAGTGCAAAGACAACTCATCCTGAACATGGGCATCATAGAGCGCAACGTCTACTCTTAGCTGTGGACCAAAAAAGATAAAAGATGTTATGATATATACCTTTAATAAAACAGCCATGCTTTAATTCTCATTTGGGTTTTTGTATAAACATTGTATAACATTTGTTTCAAAGGGACCATGGTACGTTTCAGTTGATTATGTGCTGAAGTTTTGTACAATCGCTTGAATTAAAACTATTAGTCGATAATGTTGTACATTTGTGAAATCCATTTCCTTCACAATAAAACCAACAATCTGTATTTTCAAACCCATCGGCAGCAGTAACCGATGTATTAAGGCTGTGGAGCCTTGTAGCTTTGAATTCAACCTGGATTAACATTTTGTATCCATATTACGCAGACACAACTTCTCCTCTATAAACTCGTAAAACTATTTCATTCCTAACCTTTAAATTACACCTGGTAGAAAGAGTCCCGCCAACAGGTAACAATATTTAATGAAATTCCATAGCAGGTTGGGAAATGAAGATTAGCATGATGAATACAACTGGAGAAAACCGCTTGCCTGGCTCTGTGCGATGGAACAAAACGCGCTATGTAGCGTAGGGCTGCATCTTTAAAACGAAGGACAGATTGGGCGCCAGACAGGCAAGTAACCCACGTTATTCCCAGTCATATTTTTAATGTTATCTTCCGAACAATACGCAATAATGTACCCGACCAGCTGGGTACCCCTGCCGCAAATGTGTAAATTAAATCAAATACCAAATCAGGAAGCCCATCTACCTCAGAGAAAACAGCTGTATTCAAACATATAATCCCAATCAAAACTTTAAAAAAAGGTACAGCAGTTCAATATAAACATGTTTAAGCACACCAAATAATAAAGTGGAAAGTCCTTTGATGAAAGTCTCAGTTACGGAGTCCAGATAATGTCACTTTTGTGTTAAAAGTAGAGGCCGGTGTGTGTTGGGTCAGCCCGATCTCCAACACATGTTCGTAAAAATGTATACGAAAATCTTGAAGATACAAATTAGTGATACATACTAAATAAATACGGACTGGAAACTGATGACGTCACCGTATTCAAAGTGAATGGGGACCTGCATCTGTAAACACACTTGTGAAGTCTAACGATGTAAAATAAACGTGTTGTGATTTCTATTTTTAACAAGAAATCAATGTTAAATTGTAAGAATACAATAGTAACCCTAACCCCCTCAAAAAAATCCAACATGGCGGAGAGACGTTCACTCAAGAATCCAACATGGTCCGCCATGTTGTTCACTCAAGGGGCGTGGTTAACCACCACCAGTTAGTATGTATTGTTACGAATTTCTATGTCAAATATTTCGTATACATTTTTACGAACAGCTTTTGGAGATCACGTTGGTTGCGTTGCGTGTGGGGTGGTGAGTGTGAGTTGGATAATCCGGAGAAGTGTTTCTGCGGGGATTTATCTTTCCTATAGTCCAGGGCGGTCCAGAAGGTATCTCTGGCCGATTCTCTCTCTGGCAGTGTCGAGCAGGTGTTTTTGGGGTATTCCTCTCGTAGGACACCACAGGTCCAGCAACCAGCGATCTCCTGTTTTGTTTGTCCCTTCGTCTCTCACTCAGTTGTCTCTGTCAGTTGATTGTTTTTTTTTGTTTTTTCAACTGCAGGTGTGTCCAATCTTCTAGCATTCCTTGCCCCGCCTTCTTTATATTGGCCAGGTGGGAAAAAACAAGTCTGCAGGACAGTAAATATGCAGAGCACGTGCAGCTGTTAACGCCCAAAGTACTTGTTTGCAGTGACTCCATGTCTGCCCTTGAAAGCCTGAAGTCAGGAAAGTCCAATACTCGACAAGATCTGGTGCATAAAATAATGGGCATGAACTCAAGGCAAGGCAATTTTATTTGTTTAGCACTTTTCATACACAAGGCAGACTCAAAGTGCTTCACATTATAACATTTCATACAATAAAGTGAAATAAAATGCAGGAATTAAAAGACAATTAAAAACAGCAAATAAAATTATAAATTAAAATCTTATTTAAATTGTTTAATTAAAAGCAGAGGTTAAAAGTGCAATGTAGGTCAAATTTAGCAGAAGGCGAAGCTGAACATAAAGAGCAGTAGGACAAGGAGTTGGAATGATCTATTTATGGACACTGTATGATATTAGAAATAAAATGACGACCCGGTTCATAAAATTAATAAAATGCATTTAGTGTACACCACAATACAGCCATGATTCTGAAACTGTGTAATCAATAAAGTAATGACAATATTGTAAAACCACTGTAATTCTGCAACTGTAATAGAATAATACCAATGTACAGATGATTGTATTTGATGTAATGTAATCAACTGGAATGCATGCATGTAATACTTGTACAACAACCTGATATTGGGCCATTCGAAATCTGAGTTACATCACACCTTTTAAGCATTGTTTTAAATACCTGTAGGCAACCATTGTTCTCGAGTTGACTGGTGGAGACGACAAACGGGCACTATGGGTCAAAAGGACTGACCTGGGGTCTGTTGGTTGCTGAGACCAGCGGCTCCTCAGCTGAGATGTTCTTTTTACCACAACACCATCACTTTTATTAAATACATTTGATTTTAACCTTTTGATCTGCGATGCCCTCTGTCCGTCCGGCGTTTCTTCATTTTTGAACACCGGCCCATGTAGGTATCCGAGGAAATGAAAAGGTGGATAAGTTAGCCAAACCAGCGCTAAAGGAAAACAAAGTACAATTAGATATTAAGCTATCTAAAGCAGAGGGAAAGGGCATCGTCAAGAAAAACATCACCAGAGTATGGCAACAACAATGGGACCAAGAGACGAGGGAGAGACACTTACACTCAATTCAGAAGACAGTGAGCAGTGTAAAATTCAGGCGAGGAAACAGGAGAGAAGAACTCACGATGGCAAGACTAAGAATAGGTCACAGCAACCTGCGAAACACACCACACTTAATCGGGAAGCATCCAACTGGCCTCTGTGAGCACTGCCAGTCACCAGCAACTGTGCAACACGTTGTCTCCGCTGGTAACAAATACAGCGCAGAGAGGAAAGACATGCTGAAGGAAATGGAAACGCAAGGGATGAAAGGAAGCGAGACAAACAGTGTACTAGAGTGGGGGTCTAGTAAGCTTGGAAGAAGGTGCTTTATACATCTTTTGCGGGCAACAGGGCTGATGGGGAAAGTATAAGCGGTGGGAGCCAGAAGATGGCGGTAATGCAACAAAAAAGGATGCAAGCCGCCGTTAGACACCACTGAAGAAGAAGAAGACGACATCTGCAGACTTTGTTCTGCTACAGCTACCAACACCTCTCACACTCACCAATTCAAAGGTTGTATGCAATTTATTTAATCTTTTGAAAAACGAAATTTAAAAGGAAGATAAGATTCCCTTGTTTATGAGGGCGTTATGTTTAGCACTATTCTTTGACAGGGATTATTGGAGTCGCTCCTGCGAGTCGAGAAGATCCCAAACATGAAAACAAACGAATTAAAGTTTTTCTTTAACTTAAGTTACTGTATAACTTTCTAATATAATAGCTCATATGCAGTTATTGTAACCAGTGGACAGAGCAAAGCTTTCCACTTTATTCAGTCTTTGTCCTAAAGTAAGTAAGTGTCGTTTAAGATTTAAATTAATGATGACAATGAACAGGAAAACAATTGTTGTCAACAATAGCGTAAAATGTAATATTATTGCAGTTATGTACTATATATTCCTAAATTTGATTTCATTTCACTACATTTCAGTACTAAAACCGTCATTGAAAACCTTTAACCTTTAACCTTTAAAAGTCCTCGGTTGTCCGATGGTTTTTGCTGCCATGGAACGCATCACGAGCCCCCCCCTGGTTTCAGGCCCGACACGCGACACTCCCGCCGGACACACGTATCTATGACCCCCGCGCCAACGGGCGGCCCCGGGTCTTCAGCTGCTCCTCTGACCGAGGACCGACACATGTAACTGTCTGAAATCGCCCCGAGTGCCGCGGGAGAGCCGCCCTGTTTGTCCGGTTGAGGAAAAGAAAGTAACGTCGCTCTCGGTAAGTTTCATCCGCCCAACGGGCGGAAAAGGGGGGCGATCCGCGTAGCATCCCGGCTACAGCTGCACATTCTGTCCGGACAAGTTGTTTATCGTGGACTGGAACCACGTAGCAATGCGGGTTTGATACCGCGGGCCAAGTTGTTGTTTTATATATATTATAATCGGTGCGGTAATAACTGTTTATAGACAACACGGCCGGTTTCCGGGGCGTAACCTGCTTCTGAGCCCGACAAGTTGTTTGTTTGTGAGCTGAAAGTCACTTTATTCGTTTTTATGTCTTTAATAGTGGATCCAACGGGAGTTCTGCACGACAGATACTTATGAAAAGCATGGCTGCAACACTAATAATGCACGTTAAAAGTTGCTATAAACCTCTATAGTGGTTTATCTTAAACGCAGTCAGAAGGCATCACGGGTGCCTTTACTGTAACATTTAAAGTATCACGGTTACTTTTTAGTCATTTATTAATTCAACGGTTTAGTTTATGAAATGTCGAGGAAAGCAGCAAATAACTTCACTCGAGAAAAAAAAATGACAGAATGCTTTGCATTTCTGCTTGAAATATGACTTACACATGAAATGCATTAGCAAAATACTTGTTAAAGAATTTTATATTGGAAGATGAAAATATGAACCTAACTGTAATCAGCCTAAATAGTGTATCAAGCATCAAATAACATTCCCAAAGGGTCATCACGTTTCTGGTATTTAGTTATTGAGGGTTCCTACTACTGATGTAAACAAGCGTGGCGTCAGTCTTCTAAGTACGAAGTGAGTGACTTATCTTAACGGTATTAAAACATTTATCCCCCCCTGTGTTCTCGTGTTTCAGGGATGCCTCTCCCCAGCATTTGGCCCTTGTGCAGAAGGTTTTGCCGGGACTGAGAAAGCGTCAGCAGGATGGGCAACGAGGACGCCCTGGAGGATGTGTTCGTTGCCGTCATCCGCCCAAAGAGTCAAGCCAGCCTGAACTCAAAGGAGTACAGAGCCAAAGCCTACGAGGTAAGCGCAGATTATCTAGAATTACCAGTATTATAAGTAATGACCTACCAACCAACAAACATCAACACAATCTTTTTTTCTAAACCCAATAATAACTCAGTTTCCACATTGCATCTGGGTTTAGATCGTGCTGATCGAAGTGCCTTTGGAGGGCAAGGAGAAGAAAAGAAAGAAGGTCCTCCTGGCCACA